CGCCCAGCTGCACCTGCACCCGCCTGCCGCCCGGGGCTCCGAGTTCCAATGGGATCAGGACGTTCAGCAGAGCACATTCAAGACCTCGAATTATGAACACGAATATCTTTTTTTTTTTCTTAGATTTTATTTATTTCAGAAAGAGAGAGAGCATGAGAGGGGAGCAGTCAGAAGGAGTAGCAGACTCCCCACCGAGCAGGGAGGCGGACGTGGGACTTGCTCCCGGGACTCCAGGATCATGACCTGAGCCGAAGGCAGGTGCTTCACCCACTGAGCCGCCCAGGCGCCCTGAACACGAATTTCTCAATAGTAACTATTTGTCCGCATTCAAACTTCCCAGGGGGGTTACTGTGATCATTTAGCATTGGTTCCTTTCCGTCTCTGCACACACACTCCTCCTTGCTGGCCGCTCCTGTCACCCCCCCAGCAGCTCAGGCCTCGCCCGCTCCTCAGAGCCAGGGGGGCTTTAAGAAACAGCAAAGCCCAAGCCCCCAGTTCTGCTGTAATGGGCCTGGGGTGTCACATGGGCAGCGAGGACGTTTTAAATTGTGATACAATGCATGTAAGATATAATTTACCACTTTAAGGGGCGCCTGGCCGGCTCAGTCGGTGGAGCCTGTGACTCTTGATCTCAGGGTTGTGAGTTCCAGCCCCATGTTGGGTGTACAGATTACGTAAATAAAAACAAAGATTTACTATTTTAATCATTTTATAGTGTACCATTCAATGGTATTAAGTGTATTCCCAAAATTGTCCAACAGTCACTTCTATCTCATTCCAGAACATGCCATCAGCCTAAAAGAAACTCCATCCCCATCAGCCTATCCCCATCCCTCCCCCAGCCTATCCCTCCCCAGACCCCAGGCCCCAGGAGCCCCTTCCCGTCCGTGCAGGGGCCTGCTCAGGCCGCGTCACTCGCATGCACTCACACCCCATGCGGCCTCCTGCGTCTGGTCCCCTCCCCGCGCGTCGTGGGCTCGGTCCGTCCCGGGGCCGCGCGGGGGGCGCCTGGCTCCTCGGTGGCCGGGGACCCTCTGCTGCACGGGGGACCCGCCGTGTGGACCGGTTAGTCCGCCAGTGGACACTCGGGCTACTCGAACAGGGCTACCGCGAACGCTGGGGCGCGCACTTTAAAAAGTCGTTTCTCTGGTGATTTTTCAAGTTTAAATTGAGGGCCGCGGACGTAACCGACGGGCTCCGGCGCGCGGTCGCACTAGGAAGCGCCCGCCATGGCGAGGCGCGGCGCGCGTTCTGGCCACGTCGCGGCCCTTCCCGCGCGGGCCTCGCCCTCCCATCACCGGCGCACCCGGACGTTGGAGCCGCGACCCCGCCCCCGTCCGCCACCCCGCGCTCCAGGTCGCGCGGAGCACCGGTTCCCACTCCCGCGGCGCGGGGCTCGAACCCACCGCCCCGAGCCCCGGGGCCGCCGGCCCGGCCCGACCCGGGCTCACGTCTGTCGGTTCGCTCGCGCCGCGGTGCGCGCTGCATCGCCGGAACCGCCGCGGGGGGAAGCGCGCGACCCCCGCCCCCGCCCGCGCGTTGGGCCCGCGAGTCTCGGGGTGCGCGTGGCCGCAGCGCCCGCCCGTGTCGGCGTCCGCTCGGGCGTGCCCGGGACTCGCCGGGGGTCGCGTGCACCTGCCGAAGACCGCGCTTTCCTTCCCGCGACTACACGTGCCGCCGGGTCCTCGTCAGTCTCGCGCGGAGACCGGACCCTGAGCGGATGCGGACCCGGACTCCGCCCCTCTTTGTGACGTCACACACGGTTGCCGCGGCCGCAGCCAACCAGGCCCGCGCGGCTGGGCCGCCTGGCCCCGCCCTACTTGCTGGTGATTGGAGGAGGCGTTGCACCACGCGCCCCCACAGACCAATGGGGACGTGGTCGCGACGCCGAGCGCGGTGGACGCCGAGTGTCCCGCATCCCGCCCACCCCCTCCGGTTGGCCGGGATCTCCGCGGCTCGCTCTGGAAAAGCAGCTCCGGCTTGGTACGCGTTGGCTGCCATTTCTTGAAGCTCCGTCCTTTGCAAACACCCACAAGTGGGCGGTTAATGATTTTATTTCTTGAGGTGCACAGTTGCCCTGAAGAAGATTCCAGAAACTCGCAGCCGGGCAGTGAGGGCACCTCGCCCCCTCCTGAAGTTCTCACCCTCAAATAAGAGCTGGCCTTAGGTCACCCAGTTACTACGTTCTGTGGGCGGGTTATTTGCTGCGCCGGCGCCGCTGGCTGCTCTGTGCCTGCAGGCAGGCGGGTTCGGGCGCTGCGGGTGGGCACTGCGCAAGCAGGCAGGTGCACGTGCTGAGGGCGCTCGGTCGTTTCCCCCCCGAAACAACCGTCTGGGCAGAAATGGGGCAGGTCCCCTGCATGTCTGGCAAGTGTACTAGCTAGCCCTTGCTGGGTGACGAATCAGCCCAAACCAACAGACTGGAAGCAGCAATGCATACTTGTCTTTTGTTCATCGTTTCCGCAGGTTAGGAGTTCAGAAGCGGTTGGGCTGCCTGGTTCTGGCTCGGGGTCTCTCATGGGGTTCTGGTCCACACGTGGGCCAGCTGGGGTGGCCCGCTCTGAAAGCTCAGGGGGGCTGGAGGACCTACTTGTAGGCGCCCACAGAGGCTGTTGGCGGGAGGCTCAGGCCCTCGCCCCATGGACCCCTGCCCAGTTACCTGAGCACCAGCAGGAGACAGCAATGCAAACCGACCCCCCCAGGCTGCAACCCCGAAGACCACCAGGCAGAAACCTACAGCTTTTATGACTGAGTTTCTGAAGCCACAGACTGTCACTGTTGATATCCTACTGGTTACACCAGCCAGCCCTAGTCCCTGTAGACGGTCTACATAGGGGTTTGACTACCAGGACAGGGGGACTGCTGGGGGCCCTCTCAGAGGCCACCCACAGAAGACCATCTGTTGAGAGGAAACACAGCAGGGCAAAGCAACATGACCACGGGAGTTCAGCTTCCCTTGCCCTCTTCCGGACCCCACTCTCTCCTTCGAGGTGACTCAGCTGGCAGGAGGAGGTCATGGAGTCCAGGCCAGGCCAATAGGCCTTAATCTGGGACTTTTGGCAGCACTAACCGGAGAGTTTGGCCATTCCTCTCCCCCCAGTTTGCTGAGCTGGTAGCTCCAGCCTGTGCCAGGGGTCACCTTGTCACCAAGCCACAAGAGCCCACTAATGAGTGACGCCCTAACCACAGATGGTAGCACAAAAGATGGAGAAAGAGTGGAAGAGAGGGGCAGAGAGAGACCCTAGCCTTCACCTGAGCCCCACATCCAGCCTTGCCTGCAAGCGGCTCTTCTGACCATTTCAGGATTAGAGACCCATCCTTCACGTCGCGCCTAACAGTTGGGAGGGGTTTCTGTCCTTTGTAACACGATGTCATCAACAGATGAAGGGCACATTCACAACGTGTCCACCCGCACACGGGAGTGTCCCTGGCCCCAGCAGGAGCGAGGTGCCCCCACCCGCCGCCCGGGGGACGGACCCGAGCCCACCACATGCAGGGAGGGAACCAGACACAGGAGGCCACACGGGGTGTGAGTCCACGCGTGTGACACGCCCAGACCAGGCTCCTCCCCAGACGGGAAGGGGCTCATGGGGGCTCACGGGGGGGATGGGGATGGCTGCCAGGGACAGGGTTTTCTGGGGACGATGGAATGTTCTGGAACTAGAGTGATGGTTGCACAACATTGTGAATACACTCCGTGCCCAAGCCGTGCAGTTTAAAGACGGCCAACTGCGTGATTATGTGAACTGCACATCAGTAATGTGACAACGACAATAGAAGGACGGGAAGACCAGGACGTGGCGCCAGTGTTTGCTCCCTCCCTCCGCCGGCTCGTCTCCCACCCACACCCCTTTCTCTCACATTCTCCAAGGGCTCCAAGAGTTCCTGCCTCTTCTACACAAAACAATCTCTCGTCCCTTGTCAGGCCACACCAAAGCATGCGACCTCCCTGGCCCATCCCCCGGCTCCCTCTGTCTGCTGCCCGGCCCTGACCTTCGCGCCGTCCTTGCACTGGAAGCCCAGAGGCCGACCTTTACACACCCGCGCACAAACACACCCAGGCTGAGGGGAAAAGCAAGGTCACACTGACGGCGCCCGCTTTCCAGGGTAACACAAGCATGCGTAAACAGAAAGAGCCGGCTGACCCTGTGACCTCCCCACGAAGGTTGTGGCTCTGTCCACGTATGGTTGGTCGCAAATAGAGCTCATCCACGCTTTACTTTTGGAATTGATAGTAAGTTGGCGAAGAGGAAACGCCCTGTTTGGAGGGCATCCAGGGCCCAAGTTCTCTTTCTGGCCCGAGGTGGTCACATCCCACCGCCAGCTGCCCCCCCCACCCCCGCCAACCGGCCGCAGGTGCGCCCACAGGACGTGCGGTCCTCAGCCGGACAGCGGCCCACACCGTGTGGTACTGCAGGTCTGTCGGAGCGCCTCCCCTCTCCCCCTCCACGCGGGGCCTTTCTCCTGATGGACAGGGCGTGGGCCCCAGCAGAGGGACAATGACAGGGACAGTTATGGTCACACTGTGTGTGAGGCCCTGCACGGGCACCGGATACCCAGCTTCTCCCAAAACCGTCTGTTTGCATCTTTGTTGCCTTTTTCCCTGATTATAAAGGAAACGTGCTTTGAGAAATGTAGCCTCAGGCCTGTAAATTCTTCCGTTTCTCTCTCTGAAGCAGGGTCTCTCTCCAGCCCCGCAGACATCGGGGTACCCTGGGCGCTGGCCGAGATCTGGCCCGTCTGTCTGCCATGAGCGGCAGCGGGCTCAGAGCCTGCCGGAACGAAGGGTCACCTCCCCGACGCGTGTCAGACCCGCCACAGAGGCAGGCCACAGGCGAGACAGTCTACTCCTCTTTAATGATAAAAGAACAAAAGCCAAACAGAAGTCTGGGTTGCACAGTCACGACCCGAGGCAAGGACCCTCACCTCCCATGGTCCCAGGGCGGCCCCCAGGGGTGCCGGGGTTGGAGCCAAGGGGCCGGTCCCCTTGCTGGGGGATCCTAGACGCTCTGCAGCATGTGCAGGGCGTGCACAAGGAGCGGTTGGGCAGCCAGGCCGGGGCTGGGACTCTGCAGGGTGCCCGGGGGGTCGGGGGTGCCAGTCCGGCTGCCTTCCCAGACCGTGAGCCGCAGCTCGTCGCCCCAGTCACCCAGCACCAGGTGAGTCCGGTCGCCACTGCTGCTTATCTGCCAGGGGTGAGGCAGCGGGGTCAGGGAGAGGGGCCCCCACACCACCCCTGGCCCTGGCGCTCCAGGGAGCAGGACAGGCGGACCCCCTGACCTGGGTCTCAGCGCTGCCCCAACCCCAGGAGCTCAGGGAGCTGGGGCCGAGGGCTCTACTGTACCCATGGGGGAAGGGGGCTCAGACGGGGCCTCCCCTGCCCAGGGCCACCCCGAATCCTGTGGCCTGGATAACCCAGCTTCCCCGGCGGACGTCCTCTCCAGCTAAGACCCAGTCTGGCTCAGGGCAAGGGTGCTAGCCCTGTTCTAATCTGGACACAGGGAGGTTTTACTGTAACAGAGTAATAGTGTTTGGGGGTAACAAGGAAAGCATCGTACACCACCGCTTCTGAAGTCTGGGTCAGGCCTGGCTGTGCTCGGTCAGCGACCGCCAGGACTGCCCGGGGCAAACCTCAGTCTAGACATGACTGTCCTCGAAATGACATTTGGGCGGCTGCAAAGGGCCGCCCCGTGAGGACGGCCCGGGGGGCGTTCTGCCAGGACCGAAACCTTTCTGATTTTGCATTTTTGTACTTAGAGGCCCATGTCCCCAGCCCCACCGAGGCCAGCTGTTTGCCCCCGACCCCACCGCAGAGGGGACCGGCACAGCCCCGAGGACGCAGGCCCCCCACGCTCACCTGCAGCGTCCCGTCACTGAACAGCAGCAGCAAAGCCCGCTCCGAGGCCAGGAAGTGCAGCAGGCAGAGGCCGGGGGCCGCAGGCGGGGTGGGCGTGGGCCGGCCCCCCTCCTGCAGACAGACCCAGCCCTGTGGCTCTGGCTCTCCCGGCCAGCCAGGGCCTGTCCCCACTTGCCCAGCCCCGCCCGGCCCTGCCAGGCCCTTACCTCTCGCAGCCGCTGCTGCATACAGCGGGCAAACAGCCGGAGGATGGCCAGCTTGGCGCCCAGTGGGCTGGGCACGTCCCTGGGGGCGAACGTTTCCAGCTTCCCCCGGCCAGGCACATAGCACACTCGGCTGGGGGGTGGGATACAGGGCAGTGCCGCTGTCGCAGCCTCTACCCAGGGCACTTGGTGCCTGAGGACGCCTTCCTGCCAGCCATGCCCCTGGGATGGGGGTTTGGAGACCAGCTCTGCACTGACCCACTTCTGTCCTTACCTCTAGCCCCAGCCCCTCCCCAGAACTCCAGCCCCCTGGAGTCATGTCCGACCTGAGATCCCGGCCTGCCCCAAACCCATCCCTTTGCCACCTTCCCATCTGGCCTAGTGTCTGCTCCCACCTTCCTGCCGGCAACAGATTCCAAGCCCCTGGCGTGCCTCCGAGGCCACCACCCCAGGCTACAGCCGCTGCCTGACTGACTAGTCCAACCACCCACCTGCTGGCTCCCTGGGTCTCTCCTGCCAACCAGGTCACATGGAAAGTGTGACCTGGACCCATCCTTCCTGTTCCGACCGCCACAGCAGCTTTCCAGGCCGCTGACTTCACGTCCTCCCTGTGTCCCCACGTCACTCAGTTCCTCACACCCACCAGGCTGGGTCCCATGTCCAAAGCTTTGCACATGCTATTCCCTGGGCCTCCCATGCTGTTCCTGATGGCTCCTTCTCACCCTTCCTGTCTCGCCTGAATGTCACCTCCTCAGAAAGTCCCTCCATAGCCCTTACCCTGCAGCCCCCGAGTCTGTCACCTCACCCAGTCCATCTGCTCCAGAAAACTGGCTCCTGGAATCACCTGAGTTACTGGCGTAGCATCGTTTCCCCTCTAGCAGGCAGTGAGTGCCCACGGGCGTGTACAGTAGGCGCTACTTTAATAAATACTTGAGGAATGATTGAAGAAAGATGGGGCGGTGGGCAGGAGGCCCGTGACTTACTCCCCTGGGGGGCGCAGGGCCATGTGTGTGCCGTCCCGAAGCAGGACACCGCTGCCCCCGTCCGACAGGTGATAGCCGAAGCCGTACTTGCTGAAATAATCCATCCACTTGGGGGCCCAGAGGATGGGCCGCTGCTCCCCTGGGGGGCCCTGCATGGCTGGGCATAAAAATGAAGTGAACTGAGCAAGGGGTCCGGGAGGCCTGGGGAAGGAACAGTGGAGACGCGGAAGACGGAGAGCCAAGTCCAGGGGGCAAGGAGCCCAGCCTTGCGTGCAGGAGGAGGGACAAGGGGCTGGGGAGCCCCAGTCGCCTCTGGAGAGGAGCCCTTCGGAACCATGGGGAAGGCTCCAACCCCACAGGCTTTGCAGGATTGCATTAAAAAAAAAAAGTGTGTTAAAAGCAAATCGATCAGTGTCCTCTGGAATCCTGGGTCGGATCCTGGGAGAGCAAAAGGGGCACTGGCGGAAAAAAAATGGGCAACCCAGCGGCCAGGGAAGCTGCGGGAGTGGCAGGCAGAACTCTCAGGCTGCCTTCGCTGTAAATCTCAAGTGTCTTTCACTGTTTCTTTAAGATTTCTGAGTAATTCAGCGTTGGCTCCAGCTGAGGAAAGAGCCTCAGTGTCCAGGGTCTTTCTGTGCTACAAGAACAGAAGAGTAAGAAGAACCTGGGTCCTACAAGAAAGGAGAGGCTCAGGGCACCTGGGGGGCTCAGGGGGTTAAGCCTCTGCTTTCAGCTCAGGTCATGATCCCAGGGTTCTGGGATCAAGCCCCGCATCAGGCTCTCTGCTCAGCGGGGAGCCTGCTTCCCCCTCTCTCTCTGCCTGCCTCTCTGTCTACTTGTGATCTCTCTCTGTCAAATAAGTAAATAAATAAATCTTAAAAAAAAAAAAAAAAGGAAAGGCTCCTGGGGCAGTGACCCAGGAGGGGCAAGACATGGGGGGCTGGGGGTTTCCGGACCCTAGGATGCAGGATGGGTGTCCCTGTGCCCTGAAGCCTCCCTCAGCTCTACCCCCCAGGGGAGCCCCAGAAATACCCAGGGGCCCCTGGGCAGAGCTGGGCACTTTTCTTGGGATGTTAAGGGACAGGTGGCCCCTATGGGCCAGGCTGGGTTCCTACCTGGGAGGCCATGGTCCAGGCAGAGTGACAGGTTTCTGACGGCCACCTCGACCTCCTGCCTCTGCCTCCCTTTCGGCCCTGAGGAGACAGATCTCTGCAGGGGCAGACCTGTCTGTCGCCCACCGGGAGGGGCCCCTCCCACCAGCTCTGCCCCAAACCACAGAATCTGGGAACATCTTATTTAAAACCCAGAAGCATTCTGGCCATCGTCCCCATTTCACAGGTGGGAAAGTTGAAGCCAGGAGAGGGGTCCCAGCCCGGCAAGGCCCAGTGGTTGCCCGGACCTCCATACTCTCACTCCCCACCAGCACCCGGGGCCCGGGAAGGGCCTGGGATGGAGTGTCCGCTCACCCGCTGGGTCACTCCTGAGGGTCCCTTGGGTGAGTAGGTGGACGGGGACCTCGGGGTGGAGAGCCCCTCTGTCCAACAGGGAGGCCTGGGGAAGAAGCAGCCGGGGTGAGGGGAGGCAGGCCCTGGCCCCCAGGAGAGGCTTAAGGCGGGTGAGGGTCTGTCTCCATGCTGCTCACCTGAAGACCGCGTCCCCCAACTTTTCCCTCTGCCCAGTCCGCCTGCCTCCCCACTTCCCCTGCCCTGAGTGCTCACCTCGCTGCCGCACCCCTCGGAGTCCGGATCTGAAGCACGTCCTACCGGACCCGACGCCTCGCTGGGGGTGAAGGGGCCTGAGGGAAGCGTATGGGGTTTCGGGGGGGCAGAGCCTGGGCCCACGCAGAAGAAGGCATCTGCCTCCCACGTCCACCCCGAGGCAGGTGCGGAGGAGCAGAGCAGGGGGGCGTCAGGACAGGTGTGTGAGATGCGAGCCAGCCCAGCAGGCGGGGGCAGGGGAGGGGTGGGCGGGGGCGCTACTCACGGGGGCGGCACTGGGTCAGCAGCAGCCGGCCCACCTTCCGGAAGAGCCGGCCCAGAGGCTGGGGTGCGGGGAAGATGGGTGCGCTGTGGCAGGAGTGGGCGGGCAGCCGGTCTGGAGTGAAGCCCTTCAGAGCGGGGCGCCAGGGGTCAGTGCAGGCCGCCGGGCTCCCGGGCCTCGCTGCCCGCCCCCCCACCCCCGACGCCGGGCGGGCCCTGCTGGGGAACAGCACACACTTGTGTGAAGAAGTCGTCCTGGAGCAGGTGGTCCAGACTGGGCCGCTCTGCCGGGTTGGGCGCCAGCAGGCGGGCGATGAGGCGGCGGGCACTGGGTGACAGGTGGGCCGGCTCCGGGTAGTGGCCGTCCCGGATGTTCTGGTACATCTCCGACAGGGGAGCTCCCGTGAAGGGAGGGGTACCGGTCAGCACTGTGTACCTGACCCGGGGGGGTGGGGGAGGCAGGAAGCTGAGTGCCCTCTTGGATCTGATCTGTGGGTCCAAGGTTGGCGCACCCCGACCTGTGCACACCTGGCCATCCCTGCCCAAACTCCCCGCCTCTGGACAGGCTCTGCGTCCACCTTCCCATACCCGCCCTACAGCTGCACACACCTGTCCACATCTGTCCTAGGCTCACACCTGCCTGTCCCCCATCTGGCCTCCCGTCCCTATGCTTCCACCTGCCCATACCTGGCCCTGCCGGGGTCCTCCTGCCCCTCTCCCCAGGCCCAGGGGCTCCCCACACCCACTCACATGACGCAGCCAAGAGCCCAGATGTCTGACTGGCAGGAGTGCCCATTCCTGGCGATGACCTCTGGAGCCAGAAAGTTTGGGGTCCCGCAGAGCACTCTGCAAGGGGATAATGGCGGGCTCGGGAAGGCTGGGGCCCCCGTGCCAAGCGCGTCCCACTTGTGCCTCCGTAGAGGGACCGTCCAGAGCCTCTCACTCACCGGTGGCAGTGGCCCCCTGGCCCCACCCTGGCAGCCAGCCCCAGGTCTCCAATCTTTACCACCATGTTCTTGTTCAGGAAGAAGTTACCTGTCGGAGGGGGCCGGCCCGCAGTCTGTGAGGGCGGAAGCCCCGCCCCCAGCTCGCCGGCCCCGCCCCCGGCCTCCCCCCTGCGCTCGACCCGGCTCACTGGGCTTCAGGTCGCGGTGCACGATCCGCCGCTGGTGCAGGTAGCGCAGGCCGCTGACCAGGCCCCGCAGGTAGTAGCGCACCTCCGGCTCCGTCAGAGTCCGCCGCGCCTCCAGGACGTGCGCCAGCGACTGCGGGTGCCCGCGGGCGGCCCCGGCAGCGCCAGGGACACAGGTAACACAGGTGAGCTCGGATGAGCCCCGCAGAAGTACAGGAGGCGGGCCCAGGCGGCCGCGGGGGAGTCTGAGCGGGCCCGGAGGCTCCGAGAGGAACCCACAGCGGGTACATGCCGGGCGCAGGTGACCCCCGGTGTGCTCAGGAGGGCTAAGGTGGGCTCAATGGGGGCAAGGTGATCCCCATGGCCACAGATGAAGAGGAGATGGGCACAGGTGTGTATGATGAGCACAGATGGGCCTGGTGCGGACCCGGGCGGGGACAGGTAAGTACGGAGAGACATAGGGGCGGCCACAGATGAGCACAGCAGACCCGGGGGCGGGGGCTCCCTGTCCCGTGAGCACAGCAGACCCGGGGTGGGGGGGGCCTCCCTCTCCGCCCAGCCCCTAGGGCACCTGGCGGCCACAGTACTCCAACACGAGGTACACGTGCTCTCGGTCAGCGAAGTGTCCGTGGAGGGCTACGATGTTACGGTGTTTCAGGCGGCTGTGCAGGGCGATCTCCCGTTCCACCTACAGCCATGGCCCCACGTGTCCACGCCCCGTCCTACTCCGGCCCAGGGCATAACTCTATCCCCCCAGGGCAGGGACCTCTATGGGGACCCCCTGCGAAGTGTGGAGCCCTGGGGCATGGAAGGACTGGGCCTACCTTGCCGTTGGGGCGCAGTCGCCCAGCCGCGCCCCCGGCACGAGGCACCACCTTGAGGGCAAACACGGCACTGGTGGACATGTCCACCAGCTTGTAGCAGCGGCTGAAGGCACCCTGCGTGGAGGGGGGGTGCGCCCGCTCAGCCGCCGCGTGGGCACAGGGGTGCAGACAGGTAGCCAGGCCTCGTCATACACACACACACACACACACACACACACACACACGAGATGCACGGACACACAGCTCACACCCTCACACCCGCAGACATGACCACATGAACACGGAAAACGCAGGCACACGCACACAGACGTATCCATCTCCGGATACATCCAGCCGCCGGACCACAATACAGCAAGTGCGTGGACACACGACGCAGTTCCACTCCCAGACGCGGAAAGCGCCGAGACGGAGAGCACGTTCCGATACGGACCTGGAGACAGCCCGACAGAGTTTCTACAAAGGTCGGATACCTGTAACACGCGAGCGCGCGTCCACACCCCTGGACGCACGACCCATGGGCACAGCACAGGGCGCCGAAGACCGGCTCCCGCCGCACAAGGTACACTGTGCGACGGGCACTACACAGACCCGGGCGCCCGACCGCGCCAGCAGACACCAGACCCCAAAGTCGCGCCGACACACACGGGCTCGCAGAAGTCCAGCCTCGGGGCGCACACTGCTCGCCGGGGCTCGAGATCGCGCGCGCACGCCCCTCCCCGCCGCCGGAGACCCTCCGGCGGAGTCGCGGAGCCGCGGAGCCAGGTCCGCACCTCGCCGATCAGCTTCCCGCGCCTGTAGACGCGCCCCGAGCTCGGGTCGCGCAGGAAGGCGGAGACCGGCGGGCGGCAAGTGCGCCGCCGCCGCGGCCAGGGCTCCATGCCTCCGGGGACCCCGCGGGCGCTCGGCGCGGGGACTGGCGCAGCCTCCGTCTGACCCCCGCGCCGCGGCTCTGGGGGTTGCGCGCCGCTGGGGCGCGCCTTATTGGCTGAGGGGGCGGGGCGGGGCCCGGCGCTGGGGGCGGGGCCAGACGCTGGAGGGGACCCGGGTGCGGGGAGGACGGGCGGTGGGCGTGGGCGTGCAGGGACACCCGGCTGGCAGGTGTTCCAGTGACAGCAGAGCTCGCCCCCCCCCCCGCTCGTCGGCCCTGCGCCAACGCGGCGCGCCCGGCCCAGCTCGCTCTTCGGATCCTGCGCCTCCTGCCCTGCTGTGAAGTGTCAACGTGCCCATTTCCCTGAGAGGGAAACTGAGGTCACAGAGCTTGTCTCCTTCTCTCAGAGGCCTCCGAGGGAGAGGCGAGTAGGAGCGGGGGCCTGACAGGGCTCTCGTGGCACTGGGGAGCCGTGGCCGGATCCAGAGGACAGAGAAAGAAGACCGGAACCTCTAGCGCCGGGGCTGCTTGGGAAGGGAGTGAGGCCCGGCGCAGGGAGCGAGGAGGGGCACGGCTGGGGTTTGGGGGTATCATATATGCAGGCGCTGGGCCGCGGGAAGTAGCAGAATCTGGGGACCGCAGGGCAGAGGTGGGTGTGTGATCTCTGGCCTGGACAGCCAAGGAGAGGCAGTGGGCTGAAAGGACAGGTGGGCTCACCTGGACCCTCCTGGGAGCCACAGCCCAGACTCAGTTCCAGGCTCCCGGTGTTCTCTCATGCCACCCTGACATCAGTTCTGGGACACAGGGACTAGCCTCGTCCCCATTTTACAGGTGAGCACACTGAGGCCTAGGGAGACTGTGGCTTCCGCAGCCAGGAAGGGTCTGAGCTGGATTTGAATCCCAGCAGCGGCTTCTGGGTGTCACAGTATTAATCCCCGAATGTTACATAACATGAGGAGTGGGGAGGGATTAGCCGGGCTCCCTGTGGCTGGAATCAGGCCTTGGAATTTTCCAGAGACCAGATTTCGGAATCTGGCCTGGTCATGCTGCCAGGGACGGGAAACACCTTCTGAGTGGTCACATGTCCAGCTGGTGTGTCAAGCAGGGGCACCCAGGGAGGGCATGGGGGCCTCTCGGAGCCCCCAGTGCGGGGTAGAGAGCAAGACTCTGGTACCTTTGTGGGGGACCGGCCTCAGCAACAGGGTTGGGGATTCTGGGGCACCCATGGGGGCAGCTGGCTGCAGCCAGAAGCCCGAGTTCCCTGCTAATGGGGACCAGGAGCTGTGTGGCAAGAGGTGGAAGGGAGTCATGGGCCTGGGCCATCATATCACTGTCACCCCGCCATCTGCTGGCTCTCAGTTGCACCCCTCCCTCTGTGAGTTAACTCAGGCATCATTATCAGCGTGTGGGACCTGCACCGGGCCCTGCACGCCCAAGACGGACACTTCCGGCCCCCCTGGAATGACTGCCAGGAGATCACCGGACTGAACCACAGCCGTGCGCCTGGGCGGCCTCCAGAGGTGAGCAGCAGCCTGTCCCTGGGTGGGCGCTGTTCCACTTTACAGATGGGAAAACTGAGACTCAAGAAGGCGTATTGAAGCCGGGGGTTGCTGGACTGCAAGTGGCTGAGTCCCACCTGGAGTCCAGAGCCACTGTCCACACCCCCATACCACCCCCCTTGGGCTTCTGGACCCTTCTTCCCAGGGGCTCTGGGAGCTCTGACAGGGGCAGGTGGTGGGGCCCAGAGGACCCCTATAAGGTCCTGGCTGGGGGCCTCACAGCTGGCCTGTCAGCGGCACAGACCCCTGCTCTGCCCACTGTCCCAGCTGCCCGTTGTGTTTTCCTGGCTGAGCCTCTACCACAGGGCCAGGGAGACCTCCCGTTGTCAGGCTGCCCCTCAGCGAGGACCCTCTCCCTAACCACTCTAGAATGGAAAAAAACTTCCAATAGAACAAAAAACACAGTGTCCACAGCAGCATAATTCACAACAGCCAAAAAGTGGACGGATACCCCCAGTGTGCACTGACATACAATGGGCACATCACACGGCACGGTCCGTCCCCACGCGGAAACATGGTCCAGTCTCAGGAAGGGGGGGACCCTGACCCCTGCCATGACGCGGAGGGACCCGGTGGACACCGGGCTCAGGGAGAGGAGCCAGACCCAGAAGGACCCGTCCCGCAGGACCCCACTCCCAGGAGGGCCCCAAAGGGGTCCCGTCCACACAGACAGGAGAGGAGAGGGTGGGAGCGGGGCAGGGGCAGGGGACGGGGAGTCCGACCTTCGTGGGGACAGAGTCTCTGTGTGGGGAGATGGAAGGTTCTGGAGACGGGGGGTGGGGTGGCGGCAGGATGGGTGAGCGTGCTTCCCGCCGCAGAGCCGTGCACTCAGAGACGGCTGAGGTGGTGGATTTATGTTGTGCTTACTAGAACAACAACAGATGAAGGACATATCAGCTCCCCGTCCTTCCCCAAAAGAAATCACAGCGTTAGGAGCGTAACAATTCCTCCAATTTTCCAGATGGGCAAACTGAGGCCGTTTGCCTGGCAAGCAAAGGGTGGTGGTATCGCAAAGGGGCTCGGCAAGCTGCCTGACGCTCCGGAGCCAACCCGTGCCTGGTTCCAGAGGCGGGGTGGTTTCTCGGGCTGGCACCTGGCCTGGCCACCCACCACATACCGCCCGGAGCCCCGCCTGGAGCCCCAGGCTGCAGGCTACAGGCTCGCTTTCCCTCCATCTCTTCCTTCGCTGACCTGAGATAACTCCCCCGACTCAGCACATTTCCTGGAAGAAATGCTGGGAAGCTTCTCTCAAAATACCTGTGCCGGTCGGGGAGTGGCTGCTGCGCCCGGCCCCAGCGGGGACACTCCAGGAGGCCTCCCTGGGGAGGCCCGAGGGACCACGCGTGGGGCTGGCCAGTGGGCATGCAGGTGGCACAGTCGCCCCTTCGGGAAGGACCTGGAGTGGGAGCGGGAGGCTCTGGGCCCCTTCCCGGCCTCCCAGCCTCTGGAATGCCGCGGACTCCTTCATACCTGTGTTGGTGACCTGTCACCCCACCTGGCAGCTCCCTGGGGACAGCTGGGAGCGCAGCAGCCACCATACTCCGGAAACCCCGTGACTGCCACCACGCGCTGCCTCCAGACCAGCTCAGCATTGTGGGGGAGGCTAGACTTGTCTCCCCATCACCCAGGACCAAACTTGGCCCTTGCCTCTCCCAGCCCTGTGTCCTCTGCTGTCCTTCCAGACGCCACTCTGCAGGCTCCTCCCTGCCCTTCCTTCTACCTCTTCACACCCTTTGTGGCTGTTCTTCCTTCTACCACTGCTCCCAGGGCCAGCAGTGTGAGTCTCAGGCCCATGTCCCTTATCTTCACTCCCTCTTGGTGACATGGTGCAGACCAACAGGACACTGAAGTGGGAGGCTCATCTCTCCACCCATATCTCCATCTCAGCTCTGCCAAAAACAGAGCCTGAAGCAAGGGTTTGGTGCAGAGCAGGAGTGAGAGCTGGGAAGGAAGGGGCATGAGGCAGGGTGGGCCCGGGGAACCCCTGTGGGTCCCTAAGGAACTGCGCACAACATTCCTCAGGACTGTCTACCCAAGAGGAGGATAAGGGGAGCGTCAACCCCCTGGCTAGGTCAGGGGACACAGAGTGCTTGGGCCCTTGGAGACTCACACAACCAGGGGGTGGCTGGGAGCTGGGGACCCAGGGGCAGGAAGTTCAAGACTTCCAGAACCAAATCACATTCAAACAAATGTATGCTGATTCGCTCCCGTGGCCGTCCACCCCCACCCGCTCACTCACCCCAGTCCAGCCACCCTGGCCTCTCTGCTGGTCCAAGATCCCATACCAACCTCAGGGCCTTTGCACATGCCCTTCTCGCTGCTCATGACGCTCCCCATCCCCGAGTCTCCTCCCAGCCTCCCTTTCTCCTCTTCAAGGACCTAGGCAAGGGCCATCCTTGTCCAGGAGGCCACCTCTGCCCTGCGATTGCCTCTGCTGCCCCTCACAACCTGAAATTATGTCGTTCCCCTGCAGGTCTGCTGGTTTCCATCCCACCAGACTGGGCACACCACATGCAGACACAGGTCTGTGCTTGTCCCTGCTATGTTTCCCATAGGTGCTCACTTGCTGGGTGGCCTCACATAAGCCTGCCGGCAGAGGGGACCTCCTCAGCGTCCTGAGTGGGTGCCGCCACTCCAGGTGGGGCCCCTACTCTGACTCCTCTCCAGGGACACCAACTGACACTGGCTGTGTGCACAGGGCAGCGTGAGCATCAACCCGGCCAGATTTCCATATGACTAATCTGCATTTCATCTGCTTGGGTCTTTTTACCAATTGTGGGAAAAATAGCTCAATGTCATGGGAGATCCTGGAACAGAAACAAGGAAATTAGCTAAAAACACACACAGTAAAATCCATATAAAACTCGGAGTTCAGGGGCGCCTGGGTGGCTCAGTGGGTTAAGCCTCTGCCTTCGGCTCAGGTCATGGTCCCAGGGTCCTGGGGTCGAGCCCCGCATCTGCTTGGCGGGGAGCCTACTTCCCCCTCTCTCTCTGCCTGCTTCTCTGCCTGCTTGTGATCTCTCTCTCTCTCTCTCTGTCAAATTAAAAAAAAAAAAACTCGGAGTTTGGTTGCTATTACTATAGTAATTGCTAATATTATTAATTAGTAATAGTAATATGCCAATATCAATTCCTGAGTTGTGATAAAAAGTATTTGTTTCCTAGGGCTATTATAACAAGTCACCACAAATTTTGGTATATTAAAAAAAATAATCACCCATTTATCAATCTAATGTTGTGAAGTCAGGAGTCCCAAAACCCCGGCGTGGGCAGGGCTGGTCCCCCCGGGAACCCCAGGGAGACCCGGCTCCCGCCATTTCCTGGCCCACGGCACCCCCCATCCTCCCCGCCAGCAGCGCGGGGTCTGCCCGTCTCCGGGACCCCCGCCCTCTGCCTCCCTCTTGTGAGGGCTGGTGAGGATGCTGGCCCCCTCGGGAACCCAGAGTCACCCCCAGCTCGGGGCCCTGACAAGGTCCCCTCTGCCGCGGGAGGGGACACGTCCCAGCTCCCAGGATGAGGATCTGGACGTCTTGGTGGGTGCAGATTATACCACTAATGACAAAGGGTAGACAGAAACTGTCTAAGATCTTTGCAACTTTTTGTAAATCTAAAATTATTCCAAAATAAAAATTTTCTTTAAAAAATCAGAATTAGAAGGTCATTGCAAGAAATTCACATAGGTTCCACAAAAAAAAAAAAAAAAGAAAAGAAAGAAAAAAGAAAAAGAAATTCACATAGGGGGCGCCTGGGTGACTCAGTGGGTTAAAGCCTCAGCTCGGGTCATGATCCCAGGGTCCTGGGGTCGAGCCCAGCATCTGGCTCTGTGCTCAGCAGGGAACCTGCTTCCTCCTCTCTGCCTGCCTCTCTGCCTACTTGTGATCTCTGTCAAATAAATAAATAAAATCTTTAAAAAAAAGAAAAAAAAGAAATTCACATAGAACCTATAAGGCAGTCAGTCACCCCAGGACCCTCATGGGGAACATGAGGGGTGTCCCCTCCACTTCCCACCTGATTTTACAGAACACACATCAATCTCTCTATAAATGGCACCGTGTCACGCCAAGCTTTCTTGACGTTTCCACCTAACCGTGTACCTGGGATGACCTGCCCTGTGCAGGGAGCCCCCCCCAGCTCCCGCCCCCGTCTGCCTCCAAGCCGCTCCCCTTTCTCCCTCCACCCCTGCCCCGCCCTGTCCTCACCCGGGCCTCCGGCCACCTGGCCTTTGCTTGTGCTGTGCCCCCTGCCCCCCTTCTGAGAAGGCCCTCTCCCTCAAACCCTCTCCTCGCCACTCCCCTCCTCCTCCGGGTCCTACCTGGAGCATCCCCAACTCCAGCAGGCGCCCCCCACAACTCCCTCCACAAAGGAACTCAAAACAGCTGTTCAGATGTGGGGCAGAAGACTTCCCAGGCCCTCTGGGTCCTGGGGGTCCTCAGTGTCCCTACGAAGTGGGAGTGAGGATTACTCTCTGGGCAGCTCCGGAGACCCCAGGTTCTGGGGCGGGGGGTCGGAGCGTCAGAGGCCCCCACCCCGATCCGGTCTCCTCAGGAGGCTGAAGTATCCCGGGGACCACGTGGCCAGGCCTGAGGCATCACAGGAGCCCGCAGGAAGTTGGGGGTTGGGGGGACACGCGGAGGCCACGGGATCTCCTCGTGGGTGTTCCCTGAGCCCCAAGGCAGCAGGAACCCAGCTGACAGCGCATCCACAGGGACCGTGTGGATGGATGGCCCCTCAGGGACGGTCCAGGCTAGAGCTCCGGGTAGGGGATGACACTGACCCCCTGTAGGGGGTCTAAGCCAGGGCCCAGGAGGGTGGGGGCGGGGCCAAGATGCTGCCACACTTGCAGAGGGACCCTCCTGCGTGCCCTCCACCTGCGCGAGGTCTCCGAGCTGAGCACTCCGCCTCCTTCTCTGCAAGTCTGCTGAGTCCAGCTCGGCTGGGCCAGAGGACAGGGGACAGGGCAGGAGACGGGGGCCCAAGGGAGAAGGGGTCGGGGGGGCAGGGCCCAGGACACCAGACCTTCCCCCATTCCCATCTGCCATGACAAGCTCTGTCCCCACAGGCGCTAGGACCCCATGCAGGCCCCAGCACCTGCTGTGTCCCCTCCCTGCAGGCCACCGTGCCTGCTGTATGCACTTTCTACAGCACTCATGCCTGCTGTAGTTTACTCACTGCACTGTACAGTGCCTGCTGTATGCACTCCCTGCAGGCCACAGCGCCTGCTGCATACCCTCCTGGCAGTGTGCAGTGACTCTGTATACACTGCAGACCACAGTGCCTGCTGGATGCACTTCTTCGAAGGCTCAGACTACTACGTGAAGTTCCTGAGGGTGCCGTGTCTACTGTGGACACTCCCTGCAGAGGTAAGCGTCTGCTGAATGCATCTGTACAGGACACAGCGCCGGCTGTATGCACACCCTGCAGAGAGCTCTTTGGACTGGGACTCTGGGAGTGAGGCGCAGCGGAGGGAAGGAGACTGTCCACTTGGTGGCGCCCCTGAGCCAAGCCTAATTTCTTTCTGATGCCCCCAGGCCCCAGGCGCACCCGCCAGTACACAGTTGGTGCTCAGCAGCGGGTGCCTGCCCTTGCTGCCTCCACCCTCCCTCCTGCTGCCCTTTCTCAGTCCCTGTCCAACCAGGTTTAACCTCATCAAGGTCCCAGACTGCCTCTGTCAATGCTGACCCAGTGGTCCTCTCTCCCTCCTCCCCGAAGCCCAACCTCCCTAGGCCTCTGGGACCCGACACACTGTGCCCTCACCCCGCCAATGGTACTCCGTCTCCACTCCCTCCACACTCACACCACACTCTGAACACCCCCGTGTGTCAGGACACCCACCCTCGTCTCTCTCCACCAGACAAGGCCCCCACTCTCCCCGCCTCTCCCTGCGGGCCCACAGACGTCTCACCGCACACCCGCCCCAGGAGCGACCTGTGGGTGGGCTCCCAGGCCCCCTGCCGCCCTTCCAGCAGCTCAGGCCGCCCAGCTGCCTCCTACCACACCGGCCCAAGGCCACCCCCCATGGAGGTCCTATGTGCTCTGCTCCCCAACAGCGGGGAGCTGCCCGGGGCTCCTCACCCCCACCCTCGACGCCAGCAGCTCTCCCCCCGAGAGGCTGCTGTCTCTTAGCTGCCCCCCCCCCACCCCGGGCAGGCAGGTGTGGCTTTCCCACCTCCATGGCTCCCATTCCTCGGCCTGTCCCCGCTCTGACCCCAACTCTGCCCCCCACCCTGACCCCCTGACTGTCTCTTACCCTTGCCTCTGGGGCTTCGCCCTCCTCCTGGTGGCGATCGCCTCTTCGGCGAGGGCCTTGCTGACCCCCAGCCCCATCTGTGGTGGGCCCGGGCTACTGCCTCTGAGTGTCCCCATCGAAGGGGCCTCTACTCTCCCGGGGCCGCCTCCCCCAGCCAGGTGAGCTTCTCCACCGCTGTCCTTGCACACAGTAGGTGCTCAGTGAAGTCTGTGTGCCTCAGTGGCATTGAGGGGCCTTCCCCTGAGCTGCTCCGGGTGGGAAGGCAGACAGAGCTGGACTGGTAATCCTCTCCCCGTGGTCGTGGCTGGACACCCCTCAGCGGGCTTCCAGGAGGATCGGGCCGTCCGCTGACCTAGTGACCAGAGGAGCAGTCCACTCCTCGTCCCCTGTGTCCCCATCCCTTCAGCACGGCCATCAGGAAGCCATCACAGTGGGCAGCAAGGAGCCGGGCGAGGGGTGGGGAGAGCAGAAGGTGCCTCCTGCTTGCCTGCGTGGGCAGGGCCGGGCGGTTTAGAAGCCAAGCTGGGAACAGGTGGGTTGGTGGGGAGCCCTGGGGAACTCCCTCTTTGCCCGCCTTCAAAAGAGCTGAGGTCCACTTGGGGGCGTCTCGATGAAGAACCCTGCCCACCCCACTGCCTGAGCGGGAAAACAGACATCCGAGGCAGAGGACGACTGGACTGTCTCGGGGAGAGGGATCCTCTGGGCCCCGGTCTGGCTGCAAAGTCGCTTCTCGCGCAGCCCGCGGCCAGGCAGGGAGGGTGGGAGGCAGGGTGGGGCACGGCCTCTGGTGACAGCAGTGCCCCAGAATGCTCCTGGCAGGGGTGAAAGGGGGGTTTCCACCCCCCCCATGCCTGGCCTCTGGAGCTGAGCCTCTCCCAGTGCGTTGGGGCCCTGCTCCGGGGGTGGCCAGGACCTGGAGGGGGAACCCCAGGGCTACAACCCAGGGGAGAGGGGTTCCTCAGTAGGATGTCCTTGAGGGAGGGCTGGGGGGAGGACCAGGGGAGAGGGGTACTGGCTGGGAAAGGGGACCCTCGCGGGGAGGCTATCTGGGCGTCGGTGGAAAGGAGGCAGCGGCCGGGACTCCCGGAATCATGGCAGGGCCACTTCGGTTCTCGCACATTCCCTGGCCCTGAGCGTGGAGCCCGGAATAGCAGCCCCGGGGTGGGGGGTAGGGGCGGCCAGTTCCCGCACGGCTCCCCCGCCCTGGGCTTTCCAAGGTCACCGGGATATGGACGCTGGAACACCAGGCCGCAGCTCCGGGGGACCGGACCCCGCGCGGGGCAGTCCCCTGCCGTAGACCCGCGCCGAGGCGCACAACGGCCGCGCGGGGGCGCACGGGGCTACGGTCCCCTCGGACCCCAGCCTGGGCGCGCCCGGGGAAGCCGGGTGGGAGGGGCTGCCCCTGGCTCCCCCCCCCCCCGCCCCTGGCTCCCCCCGCCCCTCCCCGCGGGCCCCGCCGCTTCCGCTCGTCCTGGGGCCGCCCCGGGAACCAGGTCGTGTCGCCTGGGCTCTGCGTAGCCGGTAAGTCCCTCTGCCTATCCTCCCACTATCCCGGCCCGCGTCTCCTCCCCGTCCCAGGGCCCGGTCCGGCTAGGGGCTGGCCTGGCAGCAGTCCCCAGGGTGGGAGAAAGCTCATCACCACTTCCTCCTGGGGAAACTGAGGCCTAAGAGGCGTGGCTCGCCCTGGGATCACACTTGCCGTCAGGAGTGCCGCCAGAACTGAGGTGCGATTGCCCGCCTGGGAGGGGTCTCTGGGGAGTAGAAGGATGGTGCTTCTAGCCCCTCAGTTCCCCCCACCTAGACCCCCACCCCTCAAGCCAGCGCAGAGTGTGTGGGGGGAAGAGGGGGTGTCAGAAGGCCAAGCCCTCTCGCCCTCCAGCAAACTTCTTCCCAGCCAGCTAGGGCTCTGGGTTCAGAGAGGGGCAGAGACGCAGCTGCTGCTCAGCTCTGGGCAGAGAACGGGACCTGCCCAGTGGTCCCCAAGATTCTCAGCTCCTGGAGCCACCGTGGACTCCAGTCCCTGATGTCCCAAGCAGGACTGTCAGAGCCAGGGCCTGAGAACCGGGGAAACTGGGGCTCCAGGGGGCCCAAAGGCTCCGCTGGTACAGGACCCGTGCCCAGGACCTCGGGGCTGGAGACCTCCAGCTTGTCCTTCGAGTCCTCTGGGCTCTGCTGACCACCAGGCAGCCTGGGCATGGCCTGAGAAAGGACGCACAAGGTGGCCACTTCCCTCCCCCTTTGTCCGGCAATGTCACAGTCATGAGGCAAGTGATTTCATCTTTCCCCGGACAGATAGGGAAACTGAGGCCTGAGGGGACAAAGTCTGCCCCCCAAGATACCTCCCTTTTTTCTTGCGCCATCCTCATCAGCGGCCCCTTTCCCTCTGCAGGCCGCCCTTGGTGGGGCCCACAGCGTCTGCACATGAGGTCACGAGTCGGCGACTGGACTGGGGCCAGGTCACCCCCCTTGTTATCCCTCAATCCAGGGGCTCCCTGCTGCTGCGGGTCTGGGAGCTGAGGTGGCCTTGGAGGCCCAGGTCCAGCTTCTGCCAGGGACTCAGGCCCTGACCCGGTCCCCACCAGCCGCACCTCTGCACAGTCCCTCCTAGAGCCCTGGACTAAGTCCAGCTGGTCCCCCTGGCACAGATGGGGAAACCGAGGCCCAGGGAAGTGGAGTGGCTGGCCCTTGGCCACACAGGAAGGTAGAAACGATGACGGTGGGGTTAGTGGTGATGGGGCCCTGACCCTGGAGACACCCGTGCACTGTCCTGGAATGATCGGACACAGATTGAGCACCTACTGTGTACATTAAGAGACGACACAGTCAGTAAGAATTAAAGATGATATTCTCTGAGCTCGGCCTCTCCACTACCAAGTTCTGTGCCTCCCGTCTTTCTGACCCGATTCGATGGACCCCTGAAACTTTTCTGTAACGGGGGCTCTGTTATTACCCTACTTTTCAGAGACGAGAACAGAGGCCCAGAGAGGTTAAATTATTGCCCCAAATCACACAGCCAGTTGGGGCAGAGCTGGGCTTCAGACTCTGGCCTGCTGGCGCCCCCACGGCAGCGCCCTCGGTGCCCCCCCACGCCCCGCCCCCTCCAGAACCTCCTTCTGCTGTGGACCTTCCTGAACTGTGGTTTAGGAGGCGGTGCTCAGGTAAGCGGGGGCATTCCAGGCAGCCAGTGGACTTAGAGACCTGGCCGTGGTCTGGGGGCCACCAGGCTCCTCTGCAGGCTGATGGTGCCTCTCCCTCCCCAAGTAGGGTCCAGGTGAGTGGACCCCGTGGGGTTCCTGGAGTCGCTGTTCCAGCTCCTGCGGGCGGGGTCTCTCCGTGCGCAGCAGGCGCTGTGTCTGGTGAGCGCCCAAATTGGCTGGTGGGGTGGGGTGAGAGGGGGGTGTCCCGCCCCACTCCTGGCCGCACCCTCAGCCTGCCCACACATGCTGTGCCTTTTAATCCCACTGATCCAACTGGAATGTGGGTGGGGTTGGCCAGGCCAAAGGGGGGGTCAGGCCAGCTCTGGAGAGAAGGTTACTGGGGGGTCCTGAGCACACTCTGGCCATCTTGCTCCTTGTAGGTTCCCTGGGGAAGAGCCGTGCTGGGGAGACTCCCACGAGTACCGTCTCTGCCGTTTGCCAGTGAGTGGTGTCTGCCTCCCAGACCCTTAGCTGGGCCTCGAAGACCTTCCATCTCCCGGGTTGGGCCCCCAGATACACTTGCCACCCTGCCAGGTTCTCTAGGCTCCCCTGGGGCTCTCCCAGCCTCAGACCTCTGTTTGTCCTCAGGACTGTCCCCTAGGGGCCACTCCCTTCCGAGACCTCCAGTGTGCCGTCTACAATGGTCACCCTGTCCTTGGCAGCCAGAAGACTTACCAGTGGGTGCCCTTCTATGGTGGTGAGTCGCCTTCCCTCCTGTTGGTCCAGAAGAGGCAGGGAGAGGGGCAGGGAGAAGGGGCTGCTAAGGAAGCAAGAGGCCTGGAGGACTGTAGGAAGAGAACTTGAGCGCTGGGGCTTTGAAGGGCATGTAGGAGTTCAAGCGACGTGGGGGTGGGGGTCCAACATGGCCTGTGAAACAGGAGCAGGGGGAGGCAGGGTCTGTCCTGCTCAAGGTGGAGCGCCAGGCTGAGGATTTACTTGGAGCTGTATCCGGAGGCCAAGAGTTCTCAAACTTGTCCCAGTAGGAGGAAATGTTACTGCATTTAGCTGAAGGCAGCAAGTTACATAACTGTGTGCCCGGGGCAGCGGGCCTCCAGATTTCAGGGAAACAGGCAGCTTTAGACATAGTGGAAGCAGACACAGATATGGAGAACATTCCATCTGTCGAACTCTGGGTTTTTTTTTTTTGAGAGGGTGGGCTTTTTTCCCCTGAGAATTAGAGGAAATTTGCCGTGATCCACCCCCGCAGAGGCCTGCCAAGGCCAGTTCAGGCTCTGTCCTAGGCAGGGTCTGCCAGCCAGGCTCAGGGCGGGGCAGGAGGCTCAGACAAGCAGAGATCAGGGCTGCCCGACTGCCAGGCAGAGGGGGAAACTGAGTCCTGGGGGAGGGCCAGCGACACACCCAGGCTACACAGAATTCGGTCCACACTGAACGCTTTCTGTTGGGCACATGCTGGGTGCAGGACCCAGTGCTGAGTGGCCTCTGCCCACGGCTGTACGCGAGAGCCTGGAACAGTGTTGGGAAGGTCGTAGGTGCTCTGTGTTGGTGGAACTAAAGAATGAATGAAGAATGGGTAAGGGTGTTAGCAGTGGATAACGCCTAGGGACCCCCTAACGCGAGGGCTTCACCTGAATGAATGAGCGCTCCCCGGACGTCAGAATGCTTGTCCGGGACGGCCCCCGGGGGCTGGGGGCGGAATGCCTAGATTCGCTCCCTGGCTCTGCCTCAGCCTCCATGTGCGGCTTTGGCTGAGTCTCTGGGCCTCATCTGCCTGAGGAGAAGGAGGCTGGGACTCCGACCGCGGTAGGAGGTACTCCAGGGCCCCTGCATTCCTCCCGCCCCCAGCTCCCAACCAGTGCGACCTCAACTGCCTGGCCGAGGGCCACGCCTTCTACCACAGCTTCGGCCGCGTCCTGGACGGCACGCCCTGCAGCCCGGGGACGCAGGGGCTCTGCGTGGCTGGCCGCTGCCTCGTAAGGCCTCGCAGGACCCCGCAAAGCCCCCCTCTCACACCCCAGCCCTGACCTGGACACCATCCCGTTCAGTCCCGGGTCCCTCCCTCTTCCCTAATCCCCGCCCCCTCCCCAGGTCCCACCCACCCCTAGGCTCCAGAGTCCGCCCCTTTACCCACGGACCCCGCCTCCAGGACGGACCCCGCCCCCAGGACGGACGGAGGCAGGGGACTGTGGGTGAAGCCGCGCTCGTCCTCTCCGTCCCTGTAGAGCGCCGGCTGTGACGGTTTGCTGGGCTCGGACGCCCGCGAAGACCACTGCGGCCGCTGCGGCGGCGCCAATGAGTCGTGCCTTCTGGTGCAGCGCGTGTTCCGAGACTCCGGTGACAGCCCTCTCTGTCCTCCCTGCTGACCTGCGGTCCCTTTAACGAGTCTGCTGACCTGCGGTCCCTTTAACGAGCCTCGGGCCGGAAGCGAAGTCCCGAGCTGATTGGGCAGTCTGTGGCCCAGCCCCCTCTCGCTGATTGGTTATTCCCAGATGGCCCCGCCCTTCCCGGAGCAGTTGGGGGTCTAACTCTTTCCCTGCTGTACTTAAGCGAGAATAATCCTAACTCCAAAAGTTAACCCATCGTTTGGGGCTACCAGGACCCCCTCGTACCTTCTTACCGCAGTATCTCATTTAATCCTCAAATCGTCCCTCAAATACGCTCCCTCCTGCGCCCCAACCCCCTCCTTTCCTCCCACCCAGGTGCTTTCGCAGGGTACTGGAACGTGACCCTGATCCCCGAGGGTGCCAGACACATCCGTGTAGCCCACCGGAGCCGCAACCACCTGGGTATCGCGGGGTCTAAGGGGGGAAGCGCCCTGCTGGCCGCCTGGGAGCAGCGGGGATATCCTGAGGCCGGGGGCGGAGGACGCCAGGGTCGGGAGGCGGACGGGCCGGTCCGGGAGCCCGGGCTGACCTTTCCCTTGCAGCGCTGATGGGGGGCGACGGGCGCTACGTGCTCAACGGGAACTGGGCGGTCAGCCCACCCGGGACCTACGAGGCGGCGGGCACCCATGTGGTCTACACCCGCGAAGCAGGGCCAGAGGAGATGCTGAGCGCGGCTGGGCCCACCTCCCAAGACCTGCTCCTGCAGGTGCGGGCCAACTTCCGCGGGGTGGGGGGGGGAGATGTAGGGGATGGTTGGGTTACAGGAGGGAGGCGGAGGGCGGAGAGGGGAAGCCCAGCTGCGAGGTCCCAGCTCAGCTCCATAGTGTGACACCCCTCCAGGTCCTCCTGCAGGAGCCCAACCCCGGCATCGAGTTCGAGTTCTGGCTCCCTCGGGAGCGCTACAGCCCCTTCCAGGCCCAGGCACAGGCCTTGGGCTGGTCTCTGCGGCAGCAGCAGCCTCAGGAGGTGGACGGGCAGCCCTCCAAGCTCCCAGCAGCCCCAGCTACCGCTGTCGCACAGATCCCAACCGCCGCCCCAGGTGAGGCAGCACGGCCTGGGAGGGAGCAAGCAGGGGGGGAGGCCTGTGCCCCTTACCGTACCACTCCTGCAGACCCCTGCTCACCCTGCCCTGACACCCGAGGTCGCGCCCACCGGCTGCTCCACTATTGCGGGAGTGACTTCGGTGAGAGACTCCTAACCCCAACCCTCACCTGCCTCCTAATTGACCCGAACTTGACCCGTCCTGCTGACCCTTGACTCCCTGACTTGACTCCAACTTGACTCCTTCTGACCCTTTGCTGTAATCTGCCCTTTGACTTCTCATTGATCCCTGACCTCGCCTGACCCCAGCCCCTCCAGTGCCCCATCCGACCCCAGTTCCTTTCTTTGGCAGTGGGGTGCGGGTGGATGGGCGCCCAGGGTAGAGCGTCCTGCCAGCCTCCACATGGCCCTGCCCTCAGTGTTCAGGGCCCGAGTGCTGAGCCGCCAGCATCAGGCCCAGGAGACCCGCTACGAGGTTCAAGTGCGGCTCATCTACAAGAACCGCTCGCCGCTGCGAGCCCTCGAGTACGTGTGGGCCTTGGGTCGCTGCCCCTGCCCCCGGCTGGACCTCCACCGGGAGTACCTGCTGGCTGCCCAGCGCCTCATCAGCCCAGACGGCACTCAGGACCGACTGCTGCTGCCCCACACGGGCTATGCCCGCGCCTGGAGCCCCGCGGAGGACAGCCGTGTGCGCCTGGCCGCCCGCCACTGCCCCAGCTGAGCCCCTCGACAAGGCCCTGCCATGTGCTGCAAGAAAGACACGCCGGACCAGGAAGCCAGGAGATATCTTACACCTTGAAACTGTGTGTCTGCTTTGATTCCCTTTGCCTCACACTCACGTTCTTAGAGACACTGTCACAAACAAGCAAGGCCCAAAGGAAGACGTTGTAATACATGTTTCCCCTCCTGCCCTTGCTACCAGGAAGCTCGCTGCTGGTTAATGACCTGACGCCCTGTGCTCTCTCTTCTCACGGACACACATAGACTGCGTATAGTCAAAGACGCTCTAACAAACAGGCCCATCCCCAGAGGACATGCCTGACGAAACTATAATGTCCCCACTTCCCGCTTTCCTGGCTACCAGCAAGGCCAGAGATAATCTTGAGGGCCTTAGTAGTTCTGGCTGGGTTTCTTTCTCTCCTTCCCTCTTTCTCTCTTAAAGCTTTTATTTTATTTTTTAAGCTTTTATTTATTTATTTATTTATTTATTTTAAAAAATATTTTATTTATTTATTTGACAGAGAGATCACAAGCAGGCAGAGAGGCAGGCAGAGAGAGAGAGGGAGAAGCAGGCTCCCTGCTGAGCAGAGAGCCTGATGCGGGGCTCGATCCCAGGACCCTGAGATCATGACCCGAGCCGAAGGCAGAGGCTTAACCCTCTGAGCCACCCAGGTGCCCCACTTTTATTTATTTATTTTTAAAGATTTTATTTAATCTTTAAATCTTTGAGATCATGACCTGAGCCGAAGGCAGAGGCTCAACCCACGGAGCCCCCCAGGCGCCCCAAGCTTTTATTTTTTTTTCAGTAGCCTCTACACCCAGCGTGGGGTCCAAACCCACAGCCTGGAGATCAAGAGCCGCTCGCTGCACAGACTGAGCGGGCCCGGGCCCCTGGCTGGTTCCTTTCAGGCAACGCCACCATCCATCCCGCTTGTTTGTATTGAATTTTTCAAGGCACCTGGTTAAGCATACTGGGCCACAGACACCCCGGATGTCCTCGTACCCAGACCCACGGTCGTGCTGTCCCTGTGTGTACCCCAGCCCTGTCCTTCTCCCAGCCCAGTGCACCCTCCCACGCCCCCTTGGGGGCCATGCTGTCCTTGCACACCATCCAGGGCCGCCCCCCAGGAGAGGAAGCAGGTCACAGCTCTCAGCCTGTCCCCTACCCTCCTGTCTTCCTGGAGATCTGCTACTTCTATATTCTTCTGGGGCCAGGAGGGCGGACCTTGCTTATGTGTGCATTGGGGGTACCTGGGGGGTGTCACTCAGCAAACCCTCTCCTTGGGGCTTCCTGGAAGGGCCCCCCTTTTACCTTCCCTCCCTGCTGGGTCGGCTCCCACGCTGCCATTTGGGGCAGTCTAACTCCTGTACCCTCCATGGTTGTGTTTTCCTCTGGGACAAGGGCTGCTCAACAGGGAGGTCTCAGGTTCAGCCCCCCGACCTTGCAGGTGACCTGCGGCCAGACCTGGCCCCTCTCTGGGCCTCAGTTTCCCCATCTGAGCGTACCTTTCCAGCCCCTCGCAGCTCTGAGCATGGGCACCATGCTCTTCGGGCTCCGCCCGGGTCCCTGCACCCCTGGCCTCTCCATCCAGACCTGGCCCTGGTGCTGAAGGTGGGGGCCCCTCCAGTCCCTCCACGGAAAAGTGGGGCACAGTTCTGGAGGCCGTGCAGTGCCCAGGCGCCCCCTGGTGGCAAGACGGGAAAGGACGGGATTCAAGGCTCCTGGAATTGCCTGCAGCCCCCAAGGGCCCCACGCAGGCCGCCCACTGGCACCCACTTCTCTCCTGGTGCTTGCCTTCCTCGGGAACACCTCCTCCCACACGCCAGCCTCCTCACATGGCACCCACGCCCAGGGTGCCTCTGTGCCTGTCGCCCCAGCCAGCACCTCCGCCCTCAGCCCGCGGCTGCCCCCTGTGCCGCCCTGCTGTCCTGTGGGTGTGTTGGGGAGTGGGGTCCGCGGGGCAGTCCCGCCACGAGCTCCCAAAGCAGCTGGCCTGGCCGGCGAGGAAAGGTCAGTGTGGGGCGCAGACGGGATGGCCTGTGGGCCCCCTCCTCACTGCCCCCTCCCTGGCCCGGCAACACTGTTTCTAGGGACCGTCACCAACAACCGCAGCAGACATTGCCTTGCCTCCTGAATGTGCTCTTCGGCTTTAAAACCAACAGGACAACAAGGAGAAGAGAGGAGAAGTCACAATTCTGAAGACGGTCAAGTCCCTCCCAAGGGCGGTCAAGTCCCTCCCAAAGGCAGTCAAGTCCCGCACAGGGATTAAAGCCACAGGTGGGTCAGGCAGAGCGATGGGAGCGGCTGCCCGAGCTCTGCGTTTTCCTCCACCATCGCCGGCTCTCGGCTCTTACTAGTTACCGTGTCCCCCGGGAATACGCTGTGCCTGTCGGGGTAAGGCTGAATCGGCGCCCGAGGGGCCCAGGGGGCACAGTCCAGAAGGTCTGCCTGCAGCCAGCTCCCCTGGCCGAGGCCTGGTGGCTCACAGCTGCAGATTCTCTGAACCCACTTCCCACAGGAGGCCGTGTTTTGTCAAGGAGAAAGAACAAAATCAGGCACGTTTGGGAGCGCCTGAGTGGTTCGGTTGGTTAAGCGACTGCCTTCGGCTCAGGTCATGATCCTGGAGTCCTGGGATCGAGTCCCACATGGGGATCCCTGCTCGGCGGGGAGTCTGCGTCTCCTGCTGACCTCTCTCTTCTCATGCTCTCTCTCTCTCAAATAAATAAATAAAATCATTTTAAAAAATCAGGCACGTTTGGAACACATCTTATTAGTAAAAGGATGAAAACTGCAGCAAGGATCAGTGACCCCCGGAAGAGTTCTCCCTGCAGCCCTGCAGGGGGCTGGCTCTGGGGTTCCCGTGGGTTTCTTACTATTTTTTAACTCTCTGCAGCCAGCATCCCCACCTACCCGGGCCCGTTCTCCCTTCCTTCTGACCCGGAACTAGAACTTGGCCCCAACAGCTGCTGAGAGTCCCCGGGGGGACCCAAAGCCCCCCAGGGTTACATGCGGCCCATGCCGGCAACTAGCATAGCCACCGAGGGGCACAGCTTGGCCGCGTCTGCTCCAGGTGAAGGGGTCCTCCTGTGACGGGCTGCACCCCCATCCAAGTCCTAGTCTCCAGACCTGTGAACGGGAGCTTATTTGGAAAAAAAGTCTTTGCCAAAGCAGTTAAGAGTCTCAAGATGAGATCATCCTGGATTGTCCAGGCGGGCCCTAAACCCAGTGACAGGTGTCCTCGTCAGACAGAGGAGACAGCTGCAAGGCCACAGAGGCGGCACTTGGAAGGACACGGCCACAAGTGCAAAGATGCCTGGAACCGCCCAGCGCCGGAACAGGTGGAAAGGACCTTCCCCTGGAGCCTCTGGAGGGAGCTTGGTCCTGCCACGACCTGACCTCCGCTCCGACTCAGGCCTACAGAACACGGGAGAACAAATCTCTAGCTGGAAGCCTCCCAGTGTGTGGTTATTTGCGTCTGGCTCCCCAGGACACTGCAATCTCCGACAGGTGTGTGCCCCAGGAAACAAGAGCTCCAGTCACCAAAGGCCGGTTCTAGAATGTTCCTAGCAGCTTTCATCACAATAACCATACATGGGAAGCCAGTCCAACAACAGAGGAGTGGTGTAGCTACACTGAATGAAATAGTGTCCTCACCACTCAGGACGAAAGTGTGGCTCACTCCTGCCGCGGGGGGCGAATCTGACAGCCGCGGCTCTGAGTGGCACCGGCGAGGGCCGGACACAGCGACGTAAGTGACATGCAAGGACAAAGTAAACACAGGATGGGGGCCACCCCTGGGGGTGGCAAGTGACTGGGAGGGACTGGCCGTGTTGCCCCGCTAGCTCTGAGTTTCTGGTTACACTCTTCTGAATGTTGAAATTAAAAACAAAACAAGGGCGCCTGGGTGGCCCAGTCGGTTGAGCCTTTGGCTCAGGTCATGATCTCCGGGTCCTGGGATCGAGTCCCTGCTCCGCGGGGGAGCCTGCTTCCCCCACACTCGAGCCCCCACACTCATGCTCTCTCTTGCTCTGCCATCTCTTTCTCTCAAATAAATAAATAAAATCTTAAAAAAAACAAACAAACCAGGTCTGAGGGGCTAGAGGTCATTGTTTCCACCTGGTAAGATAGGTGTGTCCTCCCACCTGTGCTCCCTGGCGAGCTGATCCTTGGAGGTCCAGGGAAAATCTTTGAGGGGACACAGCTAGAGCCTATTTTGCTGCCCCTTGGATGGCAGGGGTCAGTGCCAGGTGCAGAGCGAGCCTGGTGCCTCCTTCTCCCACCCTGGACTATGGCCACACCATGTTCTTCAAATAGCTGGGACAGCGATAAGCAGATTCCGAGATCCCTGTCCCCCACACTCATGTGGACTTCTCAGCCTGCAGCGGGAGGCAGGGGAGGCTCGTTAATGATTACGCTCAGTCCCTCCCTCGCTCCCAGCAAAACCTGAATCCCCAAGCAAAGGCAAAGTCCTCACCACACCTTCCAGGTATCTTCGAGGTCGGCCTCACCCACTCACCTCCTCTCTCCCCTTCACTCATTCAGCTCTAGCCACACTGCCCATGGCACTCTTCCTCTAACCTGCCAGGCATAGTCCTGCCCCAGGACCTTTGCATGTGCTTTTCTCTCTGCCCAACCATGTTTGCCCTGGCTTTCATGAGACCCATGCCCTCTGACCCGACTTTCCTATCTCCTTCGTGCCTCTACTCAAATGCCACTTCTGCAGACGGGTCTTTCTCGGACTGTTCATGCCATGGCCGCCACCAACTCCCAACTCTGCGCCGTATTCCCCCCCCAACACTCATATATTTTTCATACTGTTGTCACTTCCCCAAATCCTCAGGAGCAGGGATTTTTCTCTCTCTGGGCCATTACTGTACCGTTGACTGTTGCAGCAGGGCCTGGCATACAGTGGGCGCTCAGTATTTGTTGAATGAGCTAATTAATGCATTGGACCACTGGCAGCTCTCAGTGCTCCCTCCTCCTTCACTGGCATCTCAAGGGTGAGGACATAGGCAGGGGGACAGGTGGCCACCACCAGCCGCAGACAAGCTGGGCCTGCTCTGGCAGGAACAGGGATGACGTGTCCATGGACCATGGGAGGCAGCACGGACACCAACAGTGTCTTTGAACGCTGTCCAGTGTCCCTGGGGCGAGGTTATTCCCGGTTGAGAACCACAGAATTACAGCCTTGCCAGCGCCCTGCTAAGGCTCCCCCGTGTGTTTCCGCCAGAAGCTGTGATGGGGGCGCCTGCGGGCTCGGTCGGTTAAGTGTCCGAATCCTGATTTGGGGCTCAGGCCGTGATCTCAGGGTGGCGCTCAGCAGGGAGTCTGCCTGAGAATCTCTCCTGCTCCCTCTGCCCCTCCCCTGCTCCTGTGCAACCTCACTCTCTAGCAAAGAAATAAACCTTTAAAAAAAGAAGTCATGATCACCCGGAGTCTTGGAGAAGCAGCCCTTGTGTGGGAGGGGCAGACTGTGGTGGACACTGCAGGGCAGGTCCTTCCTCGCTGTGACTGCGGATGTCCGGCTAGGGACTTGTCTCTGGGCGAGGGGAGGTGCCCCAGGGTTACAGACCCTCTTGGGGGCTGCTGAGACTCGGGACTGGCAGAGGCAAGGGCCAGCCACCGGGCCCCCTGCAGGTCCCGTGCTCCAGGTCCTGCCCCCCCCAGCTGAGACCACCTCCTAGCTCAGCTCCTCCCACACACCCCGGGCAGCTTCCCGGCTCTGCCTCCAGGAACCAGACCCCAAATAGGGGGTGTTCTATCTTGTGAACAGGCCGTTGGGCTGAGTTTGCTTTTCGCATCTGTGTCTGTGCAGCGGGCTTGGTACCCTCCTTGGGTGTCCGCCTGGTTTTATGACTAGGGCCATGCTGGTGTCAAAACAGAGATCAACCGTGGGCCGTCAGGGACACCTGTCCCCCTCCTCCCCACTTCCACGAACCCACTCTGATGGCAACCGCCAGCACCCCCTTTACTGAAGGCTTCCTCCGCCCCGGGCCCCACACTGCCTGCAGGGGGCACAGGCTGGAACGAATGGCCAAGGCCACCCCCAGGAACCAGCTGGGAGGGTGGGCGGGAGAGTCTCCGGTGCGCAGAGGACACCGGCTCCCGTGGGATGAGGTCCCGTGGGATGGGGCTCCAGGCGTCCGCAGAGGCTAAGGGCTTGGTGATTCTCTTCCTTCGTCTCCCCCGCACACACCCCCAGCCCTGACTGGCGTTCTCCCAGATCCCGGCCCCAAGCGAGGGCTTGTCCGCCCATCCTCTCGCCCACTCTCCTCCGGGAACCTCCTTGGCCACATGCAGGTGGGCGTGGCTGTCCCACCTCCAGATCCTCAAGCAGAGCCCTGGGCTCTGCCTGGCCCGGGGCTCCACCCACCCCGACGGAGCACCCGGCGGCAGGACCAACAGCCAGACCAGATCCTACCGGGGAGCTTTATTGAGCCCTAGCTAGCAGGCGAGGTGTCTCAGCCGCCAGCAGTGTTGCAGGCACCGCAGTGGGGGTCCGGGGCGGGTCCAGTGGCAGGTGACCTCCGTGCTGGACTCGGAGGTGGGCTCCAGAGAGGACTCGGATGGGCCGGAGACAGGCAGCTCGGTGTCCGAGCTCCCGCTGTTGGACTGCGCCGAGGGCCCCTTCTCCTCCTTTCCACCGGACTGGGAGGCCTCGGGGGCCAGGTCTCCGGGCCCATCCGAGGTTTTGTTGGGGGGCTGCATGGGGACGGTGGCGCCGCTGGGGGACTGCACGACGGCGGGGGCCTGGCTGGAGGAGGGGCTGGGGTGCAGCACGGTGGAGCCTGAGGCCTCGGGGGCCGGCTGGGGGTGGCCCGAGGAGGTGACAGGTGGCCGGGGCTGCTGCTGGCCGGCAGCCTGGGGTCGCTGGCCGGAGGAGCTGGCCCGTGACCGAGGCTGGCCCCGGGACTTGCCTGGCAGTTGGGAGGCGCTGGCCGGGGAGCGCCGCGGGGACCGGCCGAAGGTGGTGCGTGAGGGGGCCGGCTTGCTCCCGGACGAGGGGCTGGTGGAGGGCCCCACCCGGGAGTGCGCCGAGGAATCCGTGGACGACTTGGGCTGGCGTGTGCCCCCCAGCTCGCCAGCCAGCAGCTGTGTGGACACGCTGGGCGAGGCCTTCACTTGTCCTTCTGGAGCAGACTCACGCTTGCTTTGGCTACAAAGAGACCGGCCACAGGGGTGAGGTGGGCCTGGCTGCACCTGCAGGCCCGGGGCGGGGGCGGGGGCGGGGTGGCAGGGACGGAGGCCGTCCCCCCATCCTCCACGGGGCCAGCTAGCTACACTGCAGGCCATGTGGCACATGCACAGGCCCGACCTCCCGAGGGTGGCGGCTACGTACGGTCAGCTCCCAGGGCAGCTGTGGGGGTGACGAGAGCCCGGCCGCGGGCCAGGGTCTGCAGGACTGGTTCCCGAAAGCGAAGGAGAGAGAGGCTGATAGTGAGGGGCTGGAGCCGGAGGGAGGCCGGTCAGGGTGAGGACGGAGGGGGGCAGGAGTGAGAACGAGCAGGGGCCGGCGGGCTGGGACACGGGCCGGCGGGGCTGGGAGAGGCGGGCGGCCCCGCGCCCAGGGGGTACACACCGTCCCGGGTTATTCCCACTGCCACGTCCAGAGCTCGCCCGCTGAACTCTCTCACGACGCTGTCCACGGCCTCGTGATGCTTTAGAAAGAGCGGACGAATGGCGCGATGATACAGCATGTGCGCCCCGTTCCAAGGCCCGGGCAGCATGCAGAACAACAGGAAGGCGCACTGTGGCACAGGGCGAGCATTACACTCTATGACCCTCAGGCACGGGCTGGCCTCCCCCATCGGACTCCCCTCGGGGATGGCCTGAACCTCCCCCATCGGACTCCCCCCTGGGACGGCCTGGGCCTCCCCCATCGGACACCCCTTGGGCAAGGGCCTGGCCCTCCCCCATCGGACACCCCTCAGGGATGGGCTGGCCTCCCCCATCGGACTCCCCTCAGGGACGGCCTGAACCTCCCCCATCGGACTCCCCTCGGGGACGGCCTGGGCCTCCCCCATCGGACTCCCCTCGGGGACGGCCTGGGCCTCCCCCATCGGACTCCCCTCGGGGACGGCCTGGCCCTCCCCCATCGGACTCCCCTCGGGGACGGCCTGGCCCTCCCCCATCGGACTCCCCTCGGGGACGGCCTGGGCCTCCCCCATCGGACTCCCCTCGGGGACGGGCTGGCCTCCCCCATCAGACACCCCTTGGGCAAGGGCCTGGACCTCTCCCATCAGACGGGCCTACTTCCTCAGACAGGGGGCTGAGTCTCCCCCTCGCACCCCAGGAGGCGGCACAGTCCTGTGTGTGTCCGGGGGCCCCCCACCTTGCCCGCGTAGTAGAAAGGGAACCAGGACAGGAGTAGATCGCTGAAGAACTCGGCCAGCCCGAACAGGCCGTACACCACCCAGTAGGTGAGCCACACAGTGTCGTCGTCTTTGCTTGGGCTCTCGATTGCTTTGATTCTGGGGGAGGTGGGCAGAGTCAGGAGCCATCCACAGCCCCCAGATGCGCCCCCTCCCCTGCAACGGACAGCCACCAGGCACTCACGACGCATATGCTGGGTACACAAAGCCGATTACATTGCACAGTAGAGACGCCCCGAAGCCGAAGAGAAGATACAGGCTTAGGAGAGTGGCGGCTCCTGTGGAAGAGAGGGTGTGGGCTGGCGGCACCTCCGAGCTGGGCCATGGTGCCCCCAGCCGTCTCCTGGCCCCACAGACCCAGTCTGCAACAACCACGCCCCCAGAAGCCTCAGGGGCCCCTCCAGGATGTGTCTGCTGCAGCCCCTGGACGACCCCCACCACGCCCTGAGCCCCATGTTCTGTGTCTGTAACCAGTCATCCGGTCAGTCTGTCCCCAACCTCCGGACTGTGAGCTCCTCAGGGGCATGCGGGGACCTTGGCCCTGACAGAATGGCCGCCCAGTAAACGTTTGTTGAATGAATACATGACCATCTGCAAGTGTAGCTGCTTACTCCAGGTCCTGTGGGACGGGTGGGCACAAGGGCCAAGCATGCGAATGTAGGGATGGGAGGAAAACCTAAAAAAAGGCCGCTCTGCCGGTAAGGCTTGATTCCCAGGGAGCAGAGAAAGGCAACATTTGTAACTCTGATCTCAACGGAGCTTTTCATCCTCACCCCTGCAGACAATCCAGGCGGGATCATCTTCTGTGGGGGCGTTCTGGGCGTTGGGGGTGCTGAGCAACATCCCTGGCCCCACCCCATCGGTGCCAGGAGAACCCCCAGTCGTGACAACCACCCATGTCATGTCCCCAGACATCACCCAGTGTCCTGAGGTGGGGACAGCTTGGCCCCGTGTGAGGACCCTTTTCTGAGTAAGAGGCAAGCACAGCAGAGTGCCCCAGACCCCGGAGAGCCCTCTGCTTTTCCACCTCCCACGTGATACCAAGCAAGTCTCGTGGCCTGGAGCCTCAGTTTCTTCATCTGTCAAAGGGGCAGTAATGGCCCTGCCTCCCAAGGTTGCCATGGGGATAGCTAAATACCATTCCACAGAGGGGCAGCCCCTGTCTACATGTTTACTGAGCACCTCTAGGCACACAAACACGTTCCCAGCGATGAGGGCTTCGAGAAAACACTGTTAGGGGAGCGGGGGGCCAGGAGCGCGACCTGCTCTGAAAGCAGTAATGGTACATACCGCGCTTATTAAGTGATTCGTGGGGCAGGTCCCGGCAGTTCCCCGCTGTGGCTCATGGGCCAGAACAACATGGGAAGCTGGGAAGTGAGGCCCAAGGTCACTCACAGAGCCTGCCTCCCCCCAAGGCTGTTATCTGCAGAGACAGAGGTCACTTGGGTACCAAAGGCCAGAGTACCCCCCCCCCCCCGCCTTCCCTCCACCTGCATTAGTCTTTATCCCCAGGGCCTGGGGTCAGGAGCGGGAGGGGAGCCTCCCCACTTGAGGAGTCACTGGTCACTGCCTCCTCTGGGTTTCCTCCTTTGTGATCTGGGCTGGGGATTTGATCGTTTGGGGCGGCTGGGGTTCAACAGTTCCCACGCCTGGGTGAGGGGAAATGGCTAGGTGGGGAGGAGCAGCTTTCCTAGGGCACCTCTCCCCTCCATCCCTTTTCCTGCAGCCTCAGCAATAGGCAGGTGACCTTGGACACGGGGGAGCGCACAGCCCCAGAGTTCAGCAACAGATGGGGCTTGGGGGTGGGGCGGTTAGGGAGGGCTGGATGCTCTGGACTGGGCAGGTGGCAGAGGCAGCCTCCGGCAAAGCCTCGAACCCTCTAGGCCTCAGTTTCCTCCCTGTGACTCCCAGCCTCCCCACAGGCCCCTCCCCGGTGCTCTATGACCTAAATTTCCTGCCCACGGGTACCAAGGGTGTGGAAAGTCGGCAGAGAAGTCAGGGCCTGCTCCCAGGGTCAGGTTCCTGGATGCGCCAACATGGTTGAGGACAGGAGGCCTGGGGCGGTAAATGTGGACCTTTCCCAGCTGCTGGGCACGGGAATACCCCCGCTGAGGGAAACGGAAGGAAAGAGGCCTCCGCGGATCTGCGCACAGAGGGTGCTCAAAATATATACCCTGTCCTCACCCAAAGCCCCTGCCAGGTCTGGACAAAGTGTCCCTGTGGCCCATTCCTGGGGGCTTCCTGGAAGAGGTGGAAGCACTGATGGGCCTGGAATATGGAAAAAGAGGGGAGGAAGGCACTTAAGGAGTGCTTGCTAGACAGTCTGGGAGCCTGCCGGGGCCACCCAAGGTCACTGAGGAAGAAAGGAAGAGGCTTTACTGGGCTGGAGAAGCTGGACCACCAGCCAGGCTACTCCATCCCGCGATGGTCCCTTACAGGCCGGAGCAGCTGGACCTCATCTCTAGGGTCCCCCCCTCCAGTGTTTCTCCAACTCCACCACCGCAGTCAAACAACCCAGCTCAACTATTCACGCACAGTGGGCCGAAGCCGTTGGGGAGGAGAGAGAGAGGGCAGGCCAAGGGAGGGTACTGGCAGGAAAACAATGGAGGGAGGAGAGATGGGAGTGACCCTTCCCCTCCTGGCCTGGAGCAGCATCCTTCTCAAAAAAATGAAAAAACCCTAAGATCTCTACACTTGCTTCCAGGCTGTGCTCCACGAGGGACCGGGGGTGTGGCAAGACTCCCAGGGCACTGGCTGCCTCCCCCAGGGCATACAGAGCAACTGGAAGAACCGGACTTTGGCCTGGCGGTCACCCAGGGCCACCAGGTAAGGGGCAGCGACGGCCTCCAGACCCGAGGACGGGAGTGAAGGTAATTCAGGGGCCGAGAGAGGGGGTGACACTCGCCCGAAGTGGCACCGTGGGGCAGGGGAGAGGCCGCAGGCAGACGCGAAGGGGTCCATGACCCCTCCCCAGGATCTCCGTCTCCCTGTGGGGACAGTGGGGTGAGCCCCGCCGTCGGAGCCCGGACCTCGCAGAAGGCGCCAGCCGGAAAGGGTCAGGTCCGGGACCCAGGTGCCCCAGGACCTCGATGTGCCCGATGGCGAAATAGGGCAACTGCCCCCAGCGCCCCGAACGGCTCACCCGCGGCCAGGTACCGCTTGTCGACACCTGTCTTGGCTTCGAGAGCCCCTAGCGCTTCGGTAGCCAAGTTCCTCTGTTCCAGAAGGCGCTCGAAGCGCTGCCGCAGGCCGTCCATGGCACCGGCGGGCCCGGGGCTGGCAGCCCGAGCTCGACCGCAGCCCCGCGCACCGGCCCCGCAGCGCGCGTGCCGCCTTCCCCAGGCGCGAGCAGCTCGGCTCCGCCCCCGGGCTGGTCTCCGCCCCCGAGATGGTCTCCGCCCCCTGTCCCCCGCTCTGGCCAATGGGAGGGCAGGGCGGACAAAGGAGGTGGGGCCTGCCCCGTCTCCCCTGCCGCATGGCCCTCTGGCGGGCGGCAGCCGCGGCAGCCGCGACTCCGGGAGAAGGGGGCGGGGCGCGGAGGCAGAGGGTGCCGATTGGCGGAGCGGGGGCGGGACGTAGAGGATTGGAGGGGCGGGGTCATGGCCGGGGATTATTGGCTGAGCTGTTGTGGGGGCGGAGCTGGTGGGAGGACCCAGAGAAAGACCAGAGCTGATTGGCGAGAACGGGGGAGGGGCGGGGCTGATCATAAAGGAGGAGAAACAGAATCTCAGGGCAGGGGGATGGGACGGAGCTAAATTCAGGAGGCGGGACTTATTGGGAAGAACAAGTCCGGTTGGACGGGGCAGGAGGCAGGGCTGATTCAAGAGGGAGGGGTGTGCAAGAAAGTGGGCGGGGGCAGGTAAAGGGGCGGGGCCAAGGCTAGCAACGGGGAAGCAGCTCCTCTTGGTCGGAAGATTTGGTCACTGTCCAAGTCGGGGAGACCGAGGGTCCAGAGGATTTGGGTCTGCGGGAGACCGGGGCGGGCGTAGGTCCCCCCCGACCTCGGGCAGATCTTCGCACTCCTCAAGGGGGAGACGCAAGGCCCTCTGGGAGTTGAAGCCTTCCGGGGGTTTCTATGGCCTCGGGGGCGGGGCGGGCGCCTGGGCCGACTCGGCGGTTTGGCCAGGGGGAGGGGCTTTCGGAGGCCCCGGCCCGGCCCCGCCCCCGCCGCCATGCGGCCCGCCCGGACTGCGCTCTGGCTGCGCCTCGCAGTGGCCCTGGGCCTGGCCCTCGTTGGCCCCCTGCCTGTGGGGTGGTCCTCGGCCCGGGCCCCCATCTATGTCAGCAGCTGGGCCGTGCGGGTGTCCCAGGGTTACCGGGAGGCCGAGCGCCTGGCGCGCAAATTCGGCTTCGTCAACCTGGGGCAGGTGGGTAGGACCCCAAAGGACAGGAGGCCCGGGGTCTGGACCACCCCGGAGCCTGGAGACGGGAGGGCTACCCAAGAGGTCAAGAAGCCCCCCAGCCCACCCTCGCCTCGACCAGCTTTAGATCCTGGGACCTCCGGAGGGCACCTGGCTGGGGGAGGATGCAAGCAAGAGGTGTGGGCCACTGTCCTGGGGGGCTCCCTCTCTGAGCCAGGTGCCATGGTTGCGGATGCTTCCCCACGTTCCCAGATCTTTCCTGACGGGCAGTACTACCACCTGCGGCACCGGGGCGTGGTCCAGCAGTCCCTGACCCCACACTGGGGCCATCGCCTGCGCCTAAAGAAAGACCCCAAGGTGAGCCTGGCCTGGGGGCCTTGGCCACCTCCTGCTATTCAAGTCACCTGCTCTCTCTGAGTCTGGGTTTCCACTTGGTATCCCCTTTCCCCCGCCTGTGGAGAGCAACGGGTTCCCAATGGGTTCCTGCGCTCACCTCAGGGCCCGGCCTGCTGTCCACGTTCCTTGTTGCCCCCCCCACTCCCCTCCTCTATCTCACCCCGAAAGATCAAGATTCCTCTGTACTCCATAAAGATGGCGGGTACCATGGGAAGGGAAGTGGCCCTTTTTAGGACAGAAGCAACGGCTCCAGAGTAGGAATCCTGCCTGAAGTCACCCAGCGAGACTGTGAGAGACTCAGAGGGGTGCCAGGTTGGGGAGTTAGGGGTCGAGGCTGAGTCTGCAAGGCCTCAGGAGGCTTGCTGGGGTGCGGGCTGGGCCCCCGGGGCTGATCAGCAGGGAGGCAAGAGGCTCTGTACTTGAAACCCACTGGGAGCATTGGGGACAGAGGTTGCTGTTTCTAGATGGGATTTGCCAATGTACTGGATTCGGGGGACAGAGAGAAATCAGGGCCAGCTTCTAAGTCTGAAGCTGGGCAGACGGGAGACGATTGCCCCATTACTGAGATGGGGGTGAGGGCACATGAACTGGTTTTGGGGGGTGGGAGAGCAACAAGGTGGAAGGAAAGGCAGAGGTCTGAGGAAGAACAGTCTGGGCCAGGCAGAACACATGTGCAAAGGTCCCAGGGTGAGGGAGCCACTGTGGCTGTAGCAGAGGGAAGCTGGTGAGGGCCAGATAAAGCAGAGCTTTGTGCCCCTGGAGGGGGGGGGCAGCATGGGAGGGTCTCAGCAGGGGGTGATGCTACAGTGTTGTAGAGAGGGATGAGGGCAGAGAGGGAACCAGGGAGGAGGCAGGTATGATCACCCAGGGATGTCTTGCAAGGGATGGGGAGGAGGAGTAGAAATGGCCACTGTAGGGGTTGGGGGAGATGGGCAGGTCTTGGGCAGAAGGATCTAGAACAGGGACTAGGAAAGGGGCAGGCTTGGACTTAAAGAGCAGTAGCCACATGTCAGTGGGCCCAGGGGAATGGTGATCTGAGGACCTTGGTCCCCTCTGCAGGCAGAGCCCCAGGCACATGGGGACCCTAGAGAGTAGCCTCAGCAGACACAAGGTCCCAGGTCCTGTCCCACACCATGAGGGACCCAGGACAGGCGGTGGACAACTGGGACACATCCCACCAAGCTGTGGCCCCACCAGCGATCTCCCCTTGGAGGACCTGGGGGTGAGGCCCGTCCACCGTAGAAGGAGCCCCAGGCCCTCCGGCCGTGAATCGGTGGGACAGACGGGGAGAGGCAGGGCGCTGGAAGGGGCATGGGTGGAGGGTGGCTGGCTTTTGGGGTCCAGCAGCCCCTGCAGTGTGCATCCGCCTCCAGGTGCAGTGGTTCGAGCAGCAGACGCTGCGGCGGCGGGTGAAGCGCTCGGTGGTGGTACCCACGGACCCCTGGTTCCCCAAGCAGTGGTACATGGTGAGGCAGCTGGGCTGGGGGCACTGAGCGGGGTGCGGCCAGAGCGCCCCTGACCCCAGCGCACCTGCCTCACACAGAACCACAAGGTGCAGCCGGACCTGAACATCCTGCAGGCCTGGAGCCAGGGGCTGTCAGGCCGGGGCGTTGTGGTCTCTGTCCTGGACGACGGCATCGAGAAGGACCACCCGGACCTCTGGGCCAACTACGTGAGGCTGTGGGGTCCGGTGTGCAGGGGTGGAGGCTGCCCCAGGTCCCACTGCCAGCCCCCATCCCTCATGTCTCCACTGCACCCCCAGGACCCCCTGGCCAGCTACGACTTCAATGACTATGACCCAGATCCCCAGCCACGATACACGCCCAGTGATGAGAACCGGTGAGAGCGGCACCCTCCGAGGTGTGAGGGCAGGCAGCCCCCAGTGCCTGGCGGGAGCTGGTGGGGGGCTGTAACGGGCTCCCCTCTTGCTTTGGCACCAGGCACGGGACCCGCTGTGCTGGGGAGGTGGCAGCCATAGCAAACAACGGGTTCTGTGGCACGGGCGTCGCCTACAATGCCCGCATCGGAGGTACGCAGGGTCTGGCTCGTGCACCCCGGGGAGGCACCTCTGGGGGATACAGGCCCCCAGGGGTGGGGGTGCGGTGGAACCATCCCCAAGACCTGACGCCCCCTCCCACCGCCGCCTGCGCAGGCGTGCGCATGCTGGACGGCACCATCACGGATGTTATCGAGGCCCAGTCGCTGAGCCTGCAGCCGCAGCACATCCACATCTACAGCGCCAGCTGGGGCCCTGAGGACGACGGCCGCACCGTGGACGGCCCGGGCATCCTCACCCGGGAGGCCTTCAGGCGCGGCGTGACCAAGGTGAGCGCACCCCGGGGCCTCGGGGCCTCGGCGGGCCTGGGCGGGCCTGGGCCTGCTCTCTAGGCCGACGCCCCCAGCCCGGTCCCCCGTCCCTGTGTGCAGGGCCGTGGTGGGCTGGGCACGCTCTTCGTCTGGGCGTCGGGCAACGGCGGCCTGCACTATGACAACTGCAACTGTGACGGCTACACCAACAGCATCCACACGCTCTCGGTGGGCAGCACCACCCGGCACGGCCGCGTGCCCTGGTACAGTGAGGCCTGCGCCTCCACGCTTACCACCACCTACAGCAGCGGCGTGGCCGCTGACCCACAGATCGTGAGTGCCCAGCTGGGTCTCCTCCCTCCCTGCCTGTCCCCTGACCCTTCCCGACTGTCCCCTGCCCTCTTCCCGCCTGTCCCCTGCCCCTTCCCGCCTGTCCCCTGTCCCCTCCCCACCTGTCCCCTGCCTATCCCCTGCCACCCTCCCCAAATGTCCCCTGCCCCCTCCCCAACTATCCTCTCCTCCTTCCTGCATGTTTGTCTCTCCTCCCATTCTACCTGTCCCCTCTCCCCACCTTCCCTCCTGCTCCCCCTTCCCTCCTGCCTCCCACTTCCCCTCCTCCCAAGGCTGCCCCGTGACAGCCCCTCACACGCTCTCCTGTCTTCCAGGCAGGGCCAGCTCCCCCGGTGTGTGACCTGGGGGGCCCTCAGGACCCTATTCTTGGTGGGATCTCCGTGGTACCTTCTTGAACCCAGCCTGGGTTTTCATGTGTACCAGGCCCCCCAAGTGCCCCTGTCTGCCCCTAGGTCACCACAGACCTGCACCACCAGTGCACGGACAAACACACGGGCACCTCGGCCTCGGCCCCGCTGGCTGCGGGTATGATCGCCCTGGCTCTGGAGGCCAAGTAGGTGACGGAGGGGCGCCCGCTTCCCGCGCTCTCCCCCCACGCGGCCCCAGCTCACCTGCCCTCGCCTGCCCCCAGCCCGTTCTTGACCTGGAGGGACATGCAGCACCTGGTGGTCCGGGCGTCCAGGCCAGCACAGCTCCAGGCTGAGGACTGGAGGACCAACGGCGTAGGGCGCCAAGGTGAGGCAGGGCTGGCTGGAGGGGGCTGGGGCGCCATGCCCGTGGAGAGTGTGATGGCTGCCACTCCGCGCAGTGAGCCACCACTACGGCTACGGGCTGCTGGACGCCAGGCTGTTGGTGGACATGGCTCGGACGTGGCTGCCTACGCGGCCCCAGCAGAAATGCGCCATCCGGATCGTACACACCCCCACGTGAGCACCCTCCTCAGCCGCCCCCGCCCCCCAGGCTCGCCCGTCACCTCCCCGCACCTGTCATTGCCGTGGGGGGGGGCTGGTCCCGAGGCCTCCGCTTCCCCATCTATCAGAGGAGAGGGTGGGCCCCTCGAACTGAGCCCAGACCCCGCCTGCTGGCTGCCCATCCCCCCAGCAGGCCCGCAGGAGGGGCCCTCACCCCCCACGCCGCCCCTAGCCCCATCCTGCCGCTGATGCGAGTGAGGAAGAATGTGTCGGCCTGCGCGGGCCGTGCCAACTACATCCGCTCACTGGAGCACGTGCAGGTGCAGCTGTCGCTGTCCTACAGCCGTCGGGGGGACCTGGAGATCTCGCTCACCAGCCCCATGGGGACCCGCTCCACGCTCGTGGCCATCAGGTACCAGGGCGGAGGACCGGCCCGGTGGCGAGTGTTCACATGGGGTCAGGCCGGGTCTGGGTGGGTCTGCGCTGGCTGGACGCCTGGCTCACCACCCCGCCCACCGTGGGAGCCCTCCCAGCCACCAGCACGTGGCCTCCACCCCGCACCCTGGCGTCTGTCCCAGACCCTTGGATGTCAGCGGCCAAGGCTACAACAACTGGATCTTCATGTCCACCCACTTCTGGGACGAGGACCCGCAGGGCTTGTGGACTCTGGGCCTGGAAAACAAGGGCTACTATTTCAACACAGGTGAGAGCTACAGGCAGGCTGGGGCCTCGGGCTCTGTGGCCTCCCGGGCACCCCACTGCCGAGGGGCTCCTGGCAATCTCCCTGGGAGACCGGGCGGGTGCGTCAGGCGCCGAGTGCACCCAGTCAGTGGTGCTCAGCCCGGGCGCCATTAGGGTCGGGGACTCCAGCTTGGGGTCGGGGGGCGGGGTAGAGGGACCCAAAAGGGCAGGACCAGGTGGCCAACAGCCTCTCCCCCTCCTCCCCGTGCCCACCGCAACCCCTGCCCAGGGACGCTGTACCGCTACACGCTGCTGCTCTACGGGACGGCCGAGGACATGACCGCGCGGCCCTCCGGCCCCCAGGTGACCAGCAGCGCGTGTGTGCAGCGGGACACGGAGGGGCTGTGCCAGGGTGAGTGCCTGGCGGGGCCCGGCCTGCCTGCTGGGAGGCGGCAGCAGCGGGCAGTGTGCGTGTGCAGCCTGGGGAGGGACAGCAGCCGGGGCGATGGGGCTCGGTCTCATGCCCCCGTGTATGTGTCCCCTGTACAGAATGCCACAGCCCCGCCTATATCCTGGGCCACCTCTGCCTGGCCTACTGCCCTCCAAGGTACTTCAGCCACACCCAGCAGGCAGTGACCCCGGGGCCTGGGCGCTCCGTGACATCCACCCTGCGCATCTGCTCCAGCTGCCACACCTCCTGCTACACATGCCGCGGGGGGTCCCCGCTCGACTGCACCGCCTGCCCCCCGTCGTACACGCTGGACGAGCTTTGGGGCTCCTGCTCAGGACCTGTCCCTCCCAACACCACCCCCCAGCCCACCGCAGTGGCCCAGCCCAGCTGCCACCATGGCCAAGCCCAGGCTGCGGTGCTGGCCTTGTTGGCCATGGCCTTGGGGAGCCCCTTCCTCTGCAGCGTCCTGTCTGGAGGCTGCCTGCCGCCATGTGGGGGCCTCCTCCGTGCCGGGCACCACCCCCATCGCCACCCCAGGGCTGGCTGCTGGCGGGAACCTAGAGCCATCTGACTAGGGGGCAGACACGGGCCTGAGCAGGCACCGCTGTCCTGCTTCTTTGCTTCGGACTGGAACCCCGGCTGGGATGCGAGAGCCTACCCCGAGAAGGCCCTGGGTGACCACCGAGGGCTCGGGCCAGGGGCGGCCTGCACAGAATCCTGGACCCGAAATGGGCAGGTCCAGGTGAAAGAGAGAGAGAGAAAAGTCTAGTTACACAGTTGGGGGTGGGGGTGGGGAGGGCCGGGCCGAGGTGGGGCTGTGACCACCCTCCCTTCCCAGCCCCAGCAGTGGGTGGGAGGGGCGAGGGGATCCAATGATCCGGAGTCTCAGGCACCACATCCGACGTCAGAGTTTGCAAATAAAGGTTGATTAGGAGGTACCCCGTCTGCCGTCTCCTTTGGAGCAGGGGCAGGCCCCCCCGTCCCCATGGCAAGGTCCGGGTTTCCTCTGTGCTGCGCAGAAACTATCTTCTCCCAGACATCAGGCCCCGGAGGATCCAGCGGTCCACAGAGGCAAGGGGGTGAGCCCCGCTCGCGGATGGCCAGCTGTGGCGGACTCCACGGGCGGCCTGCCGCCTCCCTAGCTCCTCCAGAGGCCACTACATCCTGCCGGGCGGGCTGCCGCTCTCCCGCCTCGCACGGAGGGCCTGGTTAGAGATTATCCTCCTTTTCCGCCCCCGAGGGTCGTGGGGAGGCTGAGGGAGTTAGCGGCTGGAGGTATGTTGCTATCGCTCACCCCAAGCTGGATTTTCCCGCTCCCTGTCCGTGCAGGAGCCTGGTCTGGGCCTGTCGCACGGGTGGACTCCCACGGTGTGGTGCCTCCTGGGTCCGCTTTCCTCCCTGAGCGTTGTGGACTCGGGGTCCATCCCCGGGGCGGCGTGTGGCGCCTGGCTCGTGTTCTTGGCCGAGTGGATGGAGGTATTGGGCCGATCTGTCCATCCACGGAGGCATGTCGGGGCTGTGTTGTGACGCCCGCCACTCTGAGCGTGTGTCAGGGAGTGCTGGGCCTTGTCCTCGGAGCCCTGGTGGCGTCACCTGCCCAGCAGCTCTAAGCCTAGCACCTGCTTCACCAAACGTAAGAGCAAGAGAGGGAGTTTTCACCCCAGGCACAGGTAAGTGCCCAAAATGTGCCCGCCTGAGGCAGCCACCCTGGGAATTAAGCAGTTCTGTAAGCCACGGCAGTTGCCACATGACCCAGCAATTCTGCTTCCAGCCTGCGCCCCACCAAGCCACACCAGCTTTACACGGCCCTTCTCAGCAGCAGGATTCAGGTGGGAACAACCCGAGTGCTCATTAGCTTGTGGGTGCCCCAACAGGGCATGGTCCACGCTCACACGGAAACACTACTCAGCCACAAGCGTGGGGGTGAGGCCCCCACGTGCGGTCCCAGGGATGGACCGGAGCCCATGACGCGCAGGGAGGGGACCAGACACAGAACTCACGCAGGGTGTGAGTCCACGCATGTGACATGCCCAGACCAGGCTCCTCCGTGGACGGGAAGGGGGCTTGTGGGGGCCGGCGGGAGGCAGGGAATGGCCACTGATGGGGACATGGCTTCTTTTTGGGGTGATGGAAAGTTCTGGAACTAGACTGTGGTGATGGTTGTACGTCTCTCTCTCTCAAAACCACGACTGTACACTTTAAACGGTGGACTGTATGGTACGTAGATGACCACGTCCAATAAAGCTGTCAAAAGGCACAGACACCCCTCTGATCTGAGCTTGTCTTCCCACCCTAGCTCTCAGGGCAGGAGCCCAGGCGGGAAGTTTTAGGGACCAGAGGGGCGATCATGATGGGATCTAGCAGGCGAGGCGACGCCGACCTGCCTCCAGCGTCCCTGGCCACCTCCCGGTAACCCACACAGCCAGGGCAGTAACTGGTTCCCACGAAAGCCCACGTGGGTTGTGCGCCCTGTCCCCTTTCGGCAGAAAACCGGGACCGGTGTTTTGTGACGCCGCGAGGGGGGCCGGGACAGGACCCCACGCCCACCCGATGCTCTTCCAGGACCCGCGAGCCGGGCAGGCTGAGGTCACATACTCCTCGGTCAGGTAGGACAGGACGAGGGCCCTCTCGTGCGCTCTCCCTTTAAGAAGGGGCGTGGCCTCTCGGCAAGAGGCGGGCAGGAGCCGGAGGAGGCAGTAAGTGGCGGCGCGAGCCTGGCGACTGGGCCCCGCGCTAAGGCCGGAAGCGGAAGTGTCTCTTCAGCGGCGCCGGCGGCTCGGTAGGTGCGCCACGGCGAGGCGGTAGCGGCGCTCGAAGCTTTCGCAGGGAAACTGAGGCGGCGAGGGAGCCGGGAACTGAAACCCCTGGCCCCATGTCGTCGGTCGTCGGGAGGGCCAGAGGCGAAGCGAGTCCGAAGGGGCGGGGCGGGGCGGGGCGGGGCGGGGCGGGTTCCCTGGGAACGGGGCTCCGGCGGGTGTGTAGGAGTTCGCTGGGCCGGAGTTAGGCCCCGGGGAAAGGCGGAGAGGCGGACGTCCCCGTCATCGCCCTCTTCTCTCGCCTCCAGGGATGGGTTCCAAGGCCAAGAAGCGAGTGGTGCTGCCCACGCGCCCGGCGCCCCCTACGGTGGAGCAGATCCTGGAGGACGTGCAGGGTGCGCCCTCCGACGACCCGGTTTTCACCGCGCTGGCCCCGGAAGGTACGGGGAGGGAGGGGACGCCCCCGAGACTCCGGCGCAGGGGCAAGGGCGGCGCGGCCCAGCTGCAGCCCGAGCCGCAGCTCCACCCCCGCACCCCGCGGCCAGATCGCGCTCGCCGCCTCGTACCGCCTGGCAGCCAGGGGCGCTCCCGGGGGCTCGGGGGGGCGGAGCCGGCTCTGGATCCCGCGCAGCGCGTGGACGTTCAAAGGAAAAGAGGAGATTTTCCTTTTTCACCTGCGGGGGCGAGAATGCGTGGTGACAAGGGACATGGCAGGACGCTGGGGTCTTGGGGCCACGAGGGCGAGTGGGCACAGAGCCGGCGGCCGCCGCGGAGGCGTGCGGGAGGGGCATAGGGCGGCCCGCCGGGCAGCCCAGATGTCTCCACCGGCTTCACGCGGCCCTGGCCGGGGGCGGCCCTGGCTGCGACCGCGGTGAGCTTTGTGTTCTGCCCCGTGGTTTCGTGCATTCCTTCGTGAAACTGTCCCGGAGCCCGTCCGGGAGGCGCGAGGCCAGGCCAGCCGCGGGACGGGGTGCACTCGCCTTCCTCTGACGGAGACTGTCCCCGCTGTCCGCACGGGTCTGGGGAACCACGGTCGCAGAGAAATGCCTCTGGAGCTGAAACAGGACCACCGTGCCGCGGTGCTTCGTGTGCACGAGCCACGCACGGCCGGGGCTGGCTCTGTCGCGGCCGGTGGAGGCAGTCCCGGGCTGCACGAGAGCCCTCCGAGGGGCAGCTTGCTTGCAGCCGCGTGTGTCGCGTGGCCCGTGTCCCTCCCTAGTCCCGACGCAGGTGGTGAAGTGACTTGGACAAATCCCAGTGTCTGCGCCTGTCCCCAGACCCCGGAGGCAGGCAGGCGGAGAGCATCTCGGCGTGTCTCTGGGGCCTGCAGCCCTCGCCGAGTGTGCGCGGCCCGCCGGGCCTGTGCTCTTCTCGGACGCAGGGGGCGGGAAATGCGCCTCTCCCCGACTGTGGGGTTTCACAAGGTTGCTGGCTGGGGAGGAGGTCTGGGGGGCGCGACCCGGCGTCTGCCGGCCTGCTCTGTGGTTCCCTCGTGGGGTCGCTTTGCCGGACTGGAGGCCGATACCCGGGCCCGGCCTCCGCGCACGCGCCAGGCTTGTTCTGTGATTGGTTCCCTCCAGCGGCTTTGCTGAGGGGATGAGCTGTGCGCTCTTCCTGCCCCTCCCTGACCCGTGCGCATGTCCCGTCCCCAGACGCCCCAGGCCTCCCCGGGAGGGTGGAGGACTCCGAGGCCCGGCAGGAGCAGCTCTACCAGCAGAGCCAGGCCTACGTGGCCATGAATCAGCGGCTGCAGCAGGCGGGCGACGGGCTGAAGCGCAAGTGCGAGGAGCTGCGGCGAGCGGGGGAGGAGCTGGAGCGCGAGGTCGGCCAGGTGAAGCAGGTGGCGCTGCCGGGAGCCGTGGCTGCCTCCTTGGGCTGAGTGGTCCACGCGCTTGCCCGAGCACCTGCATCCTGGGCAGGGCGCGCCCCGGCTCCCCGTGACTCCTGACCTGCCACAGCTTAGACCCCCGGCTCCCGTGGTCTGGGTGTGTCCCGGTACCCAGAGAGCCCCGGGGACACAGCTGGGCATGGGCCCCTCCCTGGGGGTCAGGCCTGGGGCGGTGAGGATGCTGCTCACCCCGGGGCCATGGAGCCCAGACTGGACTTCGCATGGGGCCCCGCACCCAAGGCCAGGCCATCCACCCTCCTCTCCCTCCCTCTGGGGTCCCAGCTCCCTGTAGACTGAGCTGGTGGGACCCGCTCTGCCGCCTCTGCCATCTCCACCCGAACCGCAGGGCCCCCCGGATTCTGGAAGAGGCCGGGGTTAGGGTTCTGTTCTGTCCAGCACAGTGGCCGCGGCTGTGCGCGGAGCCCTTGCCCGGCAGGGCCCAGTTGTGAGATGGAGCCTCTGGTGGGTGCCGGCCCTGAGGACCCTGAGCTAAGGTGTGGGCGCTCCCGCGGGCCAGGGTCCCGGTTGGGGTGCGGGACCGGCCTGGGCGCTGCGGGACTGCATCACACGGGGCTTCTGGCCTGGGCCCCGTGAGGACAGGCTGGCCCGTCTCCCATGCAAGCCCTCGATGGCTGCTTCCGTCCTGGTAAGCCTTGCCTGTGGGGGCCGTGGAGCAGAAGCAGATCTTGAAAAGGGCTTTTCACCCCTAAAAGACAGACTTCCGGGAGACCAGAGCAGCAGTGGCTGTGCAAGGCACCACAGAAGCCGTCCGCTTGTGGGTGCCCCCCCCAGAGCCCCCCGGGTGCAGTCTGCTCGGCCTGGCCCCTGCGCAGGTCGTCCGGGAGCAGCCACTCTCCTGGGGTCTACGGGAGCTCGGGAGCAGCACAGCGGGGCCTGACACTATGACCCTGAGCGTCCCAGAGGGGTTTCTCTTTCCCTGAAGAAGGGGAGCCTGCTTAAGCCCAAGAGTCCCCCAAAACTGGAAACCAGAACGTATGCCTGGGGGCACAGGGGTACAGAGAACCCGGGCGTGGCTCCAGCATTGGCAGTGGACGTCGTGACTGCCCAGCCCAGGGCCCCTCGCCCTTCAGCACCCTTCCGCAGCTAACAGCCCACCTGCTCGGCCCTGGTCTCCAGCCGCTGCCTGACTCCGGGGTCCTGTCTGCTCTGCGGAGCCCCCTCTGGGCTCAGGCTGGGACATGTGCGCTGACCTCCCTGTGCTGCCGTCCTGGGGCCCGGGCCACGCTCCAGCTCTGCCTCCAGGGACCTGTCCAGGGAGAACTTCTGAAAGCTTGTGGTCGTCTGCTGGCTCCTGGCGGCGGCGGCCCGTTCGGCAATCCACACACCGACCCCGGGTGGAGGCCCCTCCCACCCCCCATCCGCTCGCCCACCCTCGGGAAGGGAGCCAGAGGCCATGGGTGTGGTTCAACAGCTTTGTTTTATTAAAGGTGCGTGTGAGCCGCCTGGTTCCACGGCTTCCTCCCGCCAGACGATGGCTGTGTGGTGTGGTTCGTGGGTTCGTGGGGGCAGACAGGGCTGTATTTACACGGGTCCTGTACGCTGCGCAGACCGGGCAAAGAGGCAAGGGGCAGACCCAGACAGCCAGGCTTGGGCTAGAGTGTGCAGCTGCCAGCCGGGTGATGAAAGGGGGCAGCAGGGGTGAGGTAATGCTGCGCCAGCGGGTGTCCCCGAATTCAGCACCCAGCTAGCGGTGGTGTCCATCTGGCCCTGGGGCCTAAGGTCACAGGCTGGGGGTCCCAGGTATTCTCCTCGGGCTCGCCCCAGGAGTGCTGAAGAGGCACACGGGCCCTTCACAGTCTCCCTGGCCGGTGGCTGGGTTGGTCCTTTGGGTCCTGAGACCTTAGGCCTTCAGCTCCTGACTCAGGTTGATTGTCGGTGACTGCCACCTGCTGCCACCTCCAGGAAGCATGTACCAGGGCGCCCGCTACCTGCCCAGGCTGGATGCCGAGCTGTGGCTGTGTCTCTGTGCAGGGGTGGGGTGGGTGGGGGGAGGCAAAGTGGCTGCCAGGCGTGGGCGGGCACAGGCTCCCCGGGTGCCGGCCGAGAGGCAGGCAGAGGGCGGCAGCGAGGGAGCGTCCTGAAGCACGGGTCTCCCCCGGGCATGGTGGGCTCTCCACTCGCCCAAGAGGTAGCTCTGGGAGTTCTCCCCACGGCCCACGTGGGGAAACAGGCACAGAGCGGCGGAAGCACTGCCCTGGGTCTCACAGTGCACAGGCGCTCAAAGCTGTGGGCCCTTGTGGCCGGACGAGCTGGCGGTGGGTCCACTGCCGCGTCTTCCCACCAGGCCATCATGGGGAGCACCTGTCTTACGGAGATGCGAGCGTGATGTCTGGCAGTCCCCAGATCCAGAAGGGAACTTGGAAGACCCTCAGTCCCAGCCCTTCAGGGTACAGTGGGGACAGGGACTGGCACTTTCTGAAAAGAGTCCCAGACATACCAGTGTGTCCCCAGGGGCAGGCTGTGGCTGTTTGCAGTTGGCTCAGCCACCATCGCCATCTCCACTGCTTGCTGCCCTGGCTCCTGTCGCACAGGACTGGGTGCTTGGCGGGGCGGGGGGGTGTGATGCAGCATGACGGCAGCAGGACATCCGTGGGGTCTGGAATCAGCACGGCTCACAAGGGTTCCCTTTGAGGACGGTGACCCATGGGAAACTTCTGGATGATGGGGAGGGACTGTGGTGTCTGCAGGTGGGGGCTTGCGGTGTGCTCCCCCTTCAGAGAAGGGACTGATGCTCGCAGGGGCTCATAGCATCTGCTCCGGGCCGGCAGTGGCGCTCTGGCGAGGCGGCTGTCACAGCAGATCTGCGAGCCGGGAGCAGCTTCTCCCCGGAGCCTCCGTGTGCAGGAAAGAGGTCGCTGGCTCTTTGGGCGAGGAGGCGCCCTTGGAGCGGACACCAAGCCCAGGCGCACAGTCCCTGGGCAGGCTGGCAGGGGAGGGGGAATAAGTGAGGCCTCCAGGCTCACTGTCCCTCGGTCTGTCTGCCTCCAGGGCAGCGACACTCTAGCACCCGGCTGCCGGCATCCTCCAGTGGCCAAGCCCGGCTCCCGCCGCTGCTGTGCTGTCTGGAGAAGACGGTGCACCTGGCACGGAGCCCGAGGACCCCAGGGCTTCATGTGTCGTAAAGGAGAATGGAATTGAAAAGCGAGGCTGCCGCAGGGACGTCCCTCCACACACTTCCTCCCACAGGGTGTGCTCGCAGACCCAGGCAGCGTCCCAGCTCCCCTACACCCTCCGGGACGGTCGCCTGGGTCTCCTTCTCGCTGCTCTGTGTCCACCTCCAGGGGCCCCCTCCCCCCCACCAGGGTTCTGTCTAAGCCAGAGACGGCTCCCGCCTCTGCTTTCCGCGCACCGGCCTCTCCCTGTCCTTCCAGGCTGCTCCATGCACCACCCCTGGGGTGCTCCTGACTCCCTCAGCGGCAATGTCTAGGGCGGGGCAGGGGCTTCGAGTTGGACTCAGCCACTCCCTGCCCCCACACTCCCCAGCTGGGGCTGAGAAGGCAAACAAACGCGCAGAGCCATCATTAACCAATTACTGGGCCTCCCAAAATTACAGGCTGCATCCCAGTGGAGGCTGGGACAGATGCCGAGGCCCCCAGCTGGCAGGCGCTTGCTTGATGGGGCCACCCTCCCCAGCCCTGCCCCCCACCTCGGGCGGACTCTGTCACCTCCCTGCGGCTCCTGACACGGGACGGTCTTGCTGAGGCTTGGCCCAGCAGAGCGGGGATCCTGGAGCGTTGCTGCTGAGGGCAGCCCGGGCTTGGAGGGTGGTCCCCATGTGGAGGCCAGCCTGGGGCTAGACCGCCTCGCTGTGCTCGCACCAGGCTGGGACGAGAGATGGCGCCGGCAACCCGTTCCCTCCAGAGCCCCCGCAGCACGAAGCAAGCATCTGTGCGTGAGATGTGAGGCCAATCCAGGCTGCAGTGGGGCTCCAAGGGCTCTGATGGGTAGATGGACCCTAGGATCACCCTCCAGGCAGCCAGACCAGCCCTTGGCCAGGAGAGGATGTTCTAGAAGGCCGGCGCTGGCTACTATTCCAGGAGGCTGGTAGGGGCAGCAGTGGGGGCTTTCTCTGTGGCCAAGTCAGTGGTGGCTGCCACCATGGGGCTGGGCACATAGTTGAAGGGGGGGACACGGGCCGAGCGGCTGGGAGAGCCATGCCGGCTGGCAGGAAAGCCCCCTGCAGCCACCCCCAGGCCCTCATGGACAAAGGGAGCAGAGGTGGGCGCTTTGGTGGGGCCAAGCCCGTCCACATCACTGCTGGTGAGTGTGCTGGGGCCGCTGACTGGGGCCTGCGGGGGCCCCCTGCTTTCCAGACTCGGAGACGTGCTGGAGTTGGTCTTAGTGGCGGCAAAGTCCTCTGTCTGGACCACGGCGTCACTGGTCTTGCGCTGTGGGGGGCCGCTGGGGCCCTCCTCAGACGGGGCGCCCATCAGTGGCAGGGCAGTGGCAGGCAGCGTGCTCCGCAGGATGTGTGGAACATCCTCATCCCGGATGCGACGCCACGTAGTGCCTGGTGCCGCCACCCTCGGCAGTGGCCGGGCCTCTCCATCGCTGCTGCGCCGGGCAGCGTCGGCGCTGGGCCCGGGGGCAGCCCCGTCGGGCCTGCGGGCCACGCTGATGTGCGGCAGGGAGGCGTACCGCTTGACCGCCTCGGGTGGGGCGGCGGGCGTGCGGACAGGCAGACGGGACGGGCTCTCGGAGCTTGGGCGCCGGGCGGGCCGCTCGCTGGGCCTGGGTCTGGCCGCCGGGGCTCGCTGGGGGACTGGAACCTGCCTGGGGGCTGCCCGCAGCTCGTCGCAGCGCGAGGAGCAGAGGAAGACGGCAGGCAGCGCGGGTCGACTGCGGTGGGGTGAGCTGCCCTGGGAGGCGGGGGGCGCAGCCTCTGGGGTGGACAGTCCCGAGCGGCGGCGGCGCAGGCCCGGGGACTCCTTGATAAAGGTCAGCTGCCGCTGGAAACCGGAGCGGTCGGACGACCCACTGCCGCTGGAGCGGGCAGAGGCCACACGCACGAGGCCCAGGCGGCCCCCTCGGGTGCCAGGGCTTCCCTCCGCTGCCGCCCGACCCCGGGGACCCGGCTCCGGGGCTGCCCTGGCCAGGGCTGGTGGCCCCCGCTTGGCTGGCCTCTGCATGAAGGGGATCCGCACAGGTGATTTCTGCGTCTTGTGCTGCTTAGACAGCAGGGCCCGCGTGGGTGTTTGGGGCACCAGGGCTGCCCCGGGGCCGGGGAGAGGCCCTGCTGCCTGGGCGCCTGGGGGCGGCCTCCTTGTAGGGGGCTGGGAGGCTGGAGAGGCGGGGGAGGACCCCGAGGAGGGGGCCTTGGCCAGGCGGGCAGGCGGTGTGGCGCTCCTCTGCGGACGGCTCAGCGCCGCCAGCTCCGAGCTCTTGCCCGGCCGGTGTAGGCTTCGAGACCGCTGCTGCCCAGGGCTGGGGGTCTTGGCGGGGGCTCCTGGCTGCGCAGGACTCGGGGGTCCCATCTTCCTCGGTGCCACGCGGGTGCCAGGGTGGCTTTTGGGTTGGGCCCGGGGGGCCGGGCTGGGCACATAGATCACGGTCCTTCCCCGGAGCACGGCTGGCACCCTGCACGTGGTCTTCTGAGCCCCGCGCAGCTTCTCGGGGCCACTGGTGCTATGCTGGGCCAGGGCCGAGTCCCGTTTCTCCGGCCTCGCGGTGCTGCCCACCGGGCCCTCCGCCTGCAGCCGCCGTCCCTTCCTGTGCAATGTGGGTTGCAGGGTGGAGCTCCCCGACAGCCCCGACCCGGACAGGATGGAGTCAGATCCAGATGAGGCCTCGTGGGTGGCCGCAGCCGCCGCCTGGTGCAGCCACGTGACAATGGAGTTGGCGCCCTCCTGGATAGCGCGCCACTCAACGCTGTCAAGGTCTGAGGCATGGTCAGAGCTGGCCGCCTCGTCCCCGCGCTCCCGGGGCCCCTCTGCAGGCTGCTTGTCTGGCTGGGTGGCTTGGGGCTTGCGGCGCCGAGGGCCCGACGCTTGGAACCGGCGCCTGGGCACCGTGGAGTTGACACCGCGCCGGAGCAGCCCTGTCTCCACCCGTGGGCTTGGGGGGCCATGACGACCCCCTGCAGCACCTGGCCCCTTGCTGACAGCTGGCTCGAGAGCCTGGGGCCGGCCTGCTGGGTGCTCAGGGGGGTCGGGCTCACTAAGGGAGCTGGCGGAGGAGCTCAGGGAGTAGCACGGCGGCATCTCATCGGCAATGAGGCTGGGCTGGGCACGGGCAGCTTGCGTGGCCTTGGGCGTAGCCTTGGGTGCAGCCTGCACCTCCTTCCTGCCAGCCGGGCGCTCTCTCTTTACCGCCCGGGGGATGGCAGATGCCCGCCGCGGGGGCACCACCGCCTCGGAGGGCTCCTCGTCTGAGTCGTTGTCGTAGAAGCAGTACACGGCTTCCTCGGTGGGCGTCGTGAGGCACAGGGACTGCAGCGCCCCGTCCCCGCGGCCCGGGCTGGGGCGGAAGACATCCTGGTCCTTGTAGGCGCTCGAGGGCCGGCAGAGGGGAAGCTCCAGCCCCTCCCTGCTCCTGCCCACGCCCCGGGCCTGCCCCGGGCTCCGGCCCGCACCCCATGCCCTGTGCCTGTGCCCCGTGGCCTGCCTGGCTGGCGCCTCGCGACCCGCAGGCTTCTGCCTGTCCGAGTGCCCACTAGGTGGGTCCCTGGGAGGTCCCTGCAGTGTCTCGTCGCTGAGCGAGGTGGCACTAGAGAAGGTGACAGGCGTGCCGTCAGCAGAGTCAGCGCAGGAGTCCTCCCCCCGGGCAGGGGCCGGCACCAGCATGTAGACGGGCACGGGCAATGCGCGGCGACCAGGCACCAGCGCCGAGGCCACCTTGCGGAGCCGGGCGGGGACTGCCGCCCCCAGGCACTCGCGCAGCAGCTCCAGCTCCTGGTCAGCAGCTGCCGGGCCCTCGAGACAGCCACCAGCCTCGTCCCGCCGGCGGTGCCCAGCAAAGTGCAGGCTGGGGCCGCCGCCGCCGCCGCCGCCGCCGCGCTCAGGGCAGGCTGGGGGCAGCAGCCGCAGCTCCACGTCCTTTTGCACGTAGTGCTCGTGCAGGGCCAGCGCGCTGAGGCTGGAGGCGCAGGAGAAGTTCTCGTCCGGCTTCTCCACGGTGAAGCGCACGCTGCCCGCGTCCAGCTCGGACGGAAGCCGGCAGCGCTCGCGGCGGTCGGCGATGTCCAGGAAGCGCTTCACGTAGCTCTCCCACTGCAGGCTGAACTGGGTGCTCTCCCGCTCGCCGGGGGGCGCAGGGGCTAGCGGGGGCGTCTTGCTGCGGCTGGGTGGCATGGTCTGCCCCGGGCTGTCGGGCAGCTCGCTGGGGCTGACCGTGCCGCTGCCCAGCCCGCTGCACGGGTCACTCGGGACCGAGCTGGCAATGGACGGGCTCTCGAAGCTGCTCAGGGAGCTCACCGAACTGCAGCGGCTCAGCACCAGCGGCGTCTCCTGCACGCAGTTCTCCGAGGAGCTGGACGGGGTGGTGTCCTCCACCCCCAGGCCCCGGCCCCGCTGGGGAGCCGGGATGGCCACGGGCAGGGAGGCAGCCCCGGGGCCGAGCCAGGCCCCGTCCAGGTCAGCCTTGCTGGGTCCAGCCTCCTCCAGCCCTTCCAGGGATGAGTCACTGTCCAGGTCCCCGGCCTCACTGGGGCCTGGGCGGCCAGCCGAGGACAGCGAGGACAGGGAGCTGCAGCGCGACAGGCACAGTGGCACGGTCTCTGCCGCCAGCTTCTCCGGCACCTTGCTCAGGCCATCCATGGGCAGCCAGGCCTGCTTCCGGGCTCCGGGGGCCAGGGACCCCATGCCCGCCCTGGGGTTGCCCTCGAAGAGTGGTACGTGCTGGTAGGTGGGCGACAACTTGATGGTGCGTACACAGGCGTCAGGGGCAGAGCCGTCCCGGGACGCCGGCTCCTGGCTGCCCGGCAAGTGGAGGTCAAGCCGGCTGGGCCGCACCTGGCTGCTCGGGGACCCCTCGCGGTGCTCGGCCAGCACGGCCAGTGGGCAGGACCGTGTGTGCTCACGAGGACAGCGCCCGTCACCGGTGCTGCCGCTGTTGAGGCTGTCATTGGAGAGGCTGGCGTGGGCAGCCTTGAGCCGCAGCAGTGGGTGGGCCCGACTGCCAGCCTCTGGCCGCCTTCCCTCCGGCCGCCGGCAAGGAGAGCAGGACTGGGCCCGGCCTTCACGTGGCGCTTCCTGCCCAGGGTCCCCAGAGCTGAGGCTGAAGCTGTCGTCCGACGAGGTGTGCAGGGCGGAGATGTCCTCCACCAGCCTGTCGATTCGTGCCACCGCCAGCGCCAGCTTGGCCTTGGCTCTGGCCGCCACAGCCACCTCCCTGCCGGCCTCCTTGTCTGCTTCTGGGACACCGCGGGGGGCTGGCGGGGCCCGGGCCAGCGCTTGCCCCTGCAGGAAGGGGCTCCCCAGGAAGAGCGACAGCACCGCGGGGCTGGCAGGCTCCGCGGTGGCGGCTGCAGCGGCCAGGGAGGGCGCCTCGTCGTCGTCGAAGCAGCCCGAGTCGGAGGCGTAGTCCCGGGCCAGCCCGTCCAGGTGCCGCAGGGGCGGCAGGGGCTTCTTAGAGGCTGCGTCGGCCTCCGCCTCCGGCAGGCCCTGCTTCTCCAGGTGGTCGAGCGCCTGCGCCAGATGCCGCGTGTCCAGCTCGGCCTCCAGCGCCCGCTGCTTCCGCACATACAGGCTGGGAGCGCATGTGCCAGGGGAGACAGCCGTGGCGGTGGTCTGGTACTTGGCGGGGCGGTGGGCCAGCAGGTTACGCAGGGCGGCGGCGCTGCCCATGGCGATCATCTTGTGCTTGGAGTGCACCAGGTTGCGCAGCATGCCCACGGCCCCCAGGTCCCACAGGAGCTCTTGGTCACGCGGGCTGCGGGCGGACAGGTTCCAGAGCGTGCCGCAGGCGTTGCTCACGATGGTCAGGCTGTGCGACGTCAGGTGCTGGAGCAGCGTCTGCAGGCAGTTGTGGTCCCGCAGCACCTGCCTGCGGGCGGGGCGGGGGCGGGGCGAAGGAAGTGTCAGGCCCGCGCGGCCCCGCCCCCCTGCGCCCCCCCCCCCGCCCGGGGTCCCCCCCGGGGCTCGCCCCCCCCCCCGCCCCGCCCCGGGCCTAACCCCCCTTGCCCCGCCCCTTCTCCCCCAGATCCCGCCCCTCGCCCCCTGCGCCCCACTCCACTCTGCCCTGCCCGGATGGGACGGCAGTGGGGGAGCCAGTCTTAGCCAAGGCTGAGTAAGGTAACTGAATTTCAGAAAACGGACTAAATGTTTACTAACATGTATATATTAGGGGCGCCTGGGTGGCTCAGTGGGTTAAGCCTCTGCCTTTGGCTCAGGTCATGATCCCAGGGTCCTGGGATCCAGCCCCGCATCAGGCTCTCTGCTCAGCGGGGAGCCTGCTTCCCACCCCCATCTCTGCCTGCCTCTCTGCCTACTTGTGATCTGTCAAATGAATAAATAAAATCTTAAAAAAAAAAATAAAATCTTTAGCACAAGTATAGCCTATGCCATATTTGGGATATACTTACACTAAACATAAATATTACATATTTTCCTATGTCAAAAACATTAGTGATTATTGTCTCATAAAGAATACTTTATTTTGATAAGGGATGAATATTTCTTAATAGTATTTATAAAATTTTCAGTAAAGAACAAGTATTTGTTAATATTTAGAAAGTAATACATATTTTTATTTTAATAAATTAGTTTAATATTTAGTATAAGTATATCCCACACAAGATTTGAGATATATTTACACTAAAAACTGTAGTCCCTAGGGACCAGTTGGGACCATCCATTCTCAGCACAGAACAAGGCTTGTCCTTGGTTCCCAGCCAAGTGGGCTCTGCCATCCCCAAGCCCAAACTACACAGGGGCGACCCCCTTCTCCCAGTGCAGGGTCCTGCGCCCTCCACCCCTGGTGGCCGTGGGCTGGGAGGGGCTGACCTGTAGTCCTCCCGGGTGGCAATGAGGCTGGACACGTTGCGCAGGATGCCGCCGCCGCTCTCGATGATGGCCAGGGAGTTGCTCTGGCACTTGTGGGTCAGTGTGCTCACCAGGAAGCCCAGGGCACCGTCCACCTGGCAGATGGCCGCCTTGTTCTCCGTGCTGTGTGCCGACAGGTTCCACAGGGCACTGAGCACGCTCTTCAGGGTGGACTCCTGGACACAGATCGGGTAAGGAGGGGGTCAGTGTGGGAGCAGGGACCAGGCCAGCCCCGCCCACTCGGCTGTTCCTGTCAAGGTGTGGACACAAGGCTGGGAAGAAAGGCACCCAAGGGGCACCTGGGTGGCTCAGTGGGTTAAGCCTCTGCCTTCAGCCCAGGTCATGATCTCAGGGTCCTGGAATCGAGCCCCGCATCAGGCTCTCTGCTCAGCAGGGAGCCTGCTTCTGCCTCTCTCTCTCTCTGCCTGCCTCTCTGCCTGCTTGGGATCTCTCTCTCTCTCTGTGTCAGGTAAATAAATGAAATCTTAAAAAAAAAAAAAAAAAGACACCCAAATACGTTTTCCCATAAAAGTAACAGTGAAAGGATCTTGAGATACAGGGTTGGAAGCCCCAGCTATGGACCAGCTGCTCTCCAGTGCACTATTTGGCTTGATTTCCCCCAGAGATGGGGAACTCACCCCCTCTCGCAGGTCTCCCTGCGCTGTGGCTGGCACTGAACAGCCCTGGCCAGTCCCTCTTCCTGAGGCCTGAGGTGAGGTCTCCCTGTCCCCAGCCCCCCACTCCAGCTGGTGCCCACCTTGGAGGCTCGAAGAACACACTGCATCAGGGCAGTCATGCTGCCAACCTCCCTCAGCACCTTCTTGCTGTTTATGTCAGCCCTCCAGGACAGGTTGCGCAGGATGCTGGACACCACCTGGGCCGGGGCAGAGAAGGGGCAATGTGGACCTAAGGCCACCCGAGCCTCCACCCCTGTGCCAGCTGAGCAGAGACTGGAGGGGATGTCCCATACCCAGGGGAGAGGGAGCCTGGCCAGCAGAAAGGCCTCAGGCAGTGGGACACCCCACAGGGCGCTCCTGGGGCCACACTGCCCAGGTACCTGGTGGAGCTCCTCGCTCTCAGAAGCCAGCTGGGCCACGATGGCCTCCATGCAGCCCCTGCGGGCACACAGCATTGCCTGTTGGTGTGAAGAGGGAAGTCGCGCCATGCCAGGCAGGGCAGGGGGCATGAAGTAGGCCCACCCCCACCTTCAGGTTCCCTCCTCTGCTCACTGAGCACCTACTGTGTGCTAGAGCTTGAGCCCAGCCCCCATCCTCACTGCTGCGTGCTGCAGGGGAGGGACGGCACTTACCCTGTTGATCCAATGAGGAAACTGAAGCCCAGACCAGCACGGACACCCAGCCCCCTAGTCCAGAGGCCCCATCCTTGGCAGAGCTGGCCCCAGAGCAGCCAGCAGGATGGTGGCCTGGCTGATCACATGCAGACACCAGCCTTCTCGGCCGCACCAGCCCTCTCTGGGCCTCAGTCTACCCGCCTGCAAAGTGGGGACAACTGTCTCCATCTCTGAGGGCTGTTTTGAAGCTGTGGTGAGGTTGAGGGCTCCGATCTGGAGAGCGCTGACCCTGCCCAGCCTCCGGCTGCCCCACGCACCTTGTTGGCGACATCCCCAAAAGTGAGGTTGGTGAGGGTCATGCCGGCATAGCGGCGAAGGGCAAGGTTGAGCGGGTCCCGCGTCATCTTGTGCATCTCGTAGTCAACCTGCAGCAAGTCCGCGACGGCCTGCAGCCCACCTGCAGGGGCGCGAGCAGGGCGTGGTGCACCTGCGGGGTGCCCACCCATGGCCAGACACCCCAAACCACCCATCTGCCTTCTTCCCGGCCTCAGATGCCCTCTGCTCCCTCCCACCCCACACCTGCCCTGCTCAGGTCCCCCTCCCCAGCCCCCAGGGCTACTCCCCAGCCTCTGGGTCATTGCACGGCTGTTCCCTTTGCCTGTAGTGCTCTTCCCTGCTGTTTGCCCAGGTTACTGGCTCTGCTCCCAGCTCCAGTCACTTTCTCAGGGAAGCCCCCCCACATCCCCCACGAGAATTCTCTCCAGACCGTTAGACCACGAGCCATGGAGGGCAGGCTATGGATGGCCCGTGCTCAGGAGGCACTATGGGGAAAATGAATCAGGGGATGTGGTCAGTATGGAGCAAGGGAAAGAAGCAGCAGCGCAAGCATGAGAAGCCCCATCTCTGTCTCCCCGTGGCAGAGATGATGAGGGCAAATGCCAGCGTCCCTGGGGCAGGAAGAGAGTGGTGCCCGTCTAAAAACCTCCAGTGTGGGGCGTCTGGGTGACTCGGTGGGTTGAGCCTCTGCCTTCGGCTCAGGTCATAATCTCGGGGTCCTGGGATCGAGCCCGCATTGGGCTCTCTGCCCAGCAGGAAGCCTGCTTCCTCCTCTCTCTGCCTGCCTCTCTGCCTGCTTGTGATCTCTGTCTGTCAAATAAATAAAATCTTATTAAAAAAAAAAAAGCATATTGCCGGCCATGTAATAAGTGGTAAGTCACTGTTATAAAAACCTCCAATGCAAGCCTATGACATGTTCACAGTGGCTGAGAGGGGGACACAACCAAAATGTCCATCAGCGGACGTGGACGGATGGGTGGACACAGTGTGTCTGTCCACAACGCAGCATTCCTCAGCCACAGAAAGGCGGGACGCTCTGACACCTGCTACCGCATGGGCAGACCCCAAAGACATTCTGCTCGAGGGTATTTATATCAAATAAGCCGGATCCAGAAGGACCCACAGAACCCCACTCCCACTCCCAGGAGGGTCCCAGAGGAGTCCCGTCCACACAGAGAGGAGAGGGTGGGAGCTGGGGCTGGGGCAGGGGTGGGGAGTCCGTGCTTCACGGGGACAGGGTCTCTATGTGGAGAGATGGAAAGTTCTGGAGACGGAGGGCGGGGGTGTGAGTGCTTCCTGCCGCGGAGCTGTGCGCTCAGAGACGGTTATGATAGTGGATCTTACGTGTATTCTACCACAAGTTGGTTTTTTAAGTAGGCTCCAGGCCTAACGTGGGACTGGAACTCACAACACTCAAACAACTGTCACCACATCTACCGACTGAGCCGGCCAGGCGCCTCTAACAACTTTAATTTGTGATTATAAGTTATTTCAGGGGCTGCTTCCAAGTCCCTTCACCCTCCTGAATGTGGAACCCCACAGGAAGGACACGGACAAGAAGAGGCAGCAAGTGCTGTGACTCAGCTGCGGGGGGGCTGCCGGCTAGGGGCTCCTGGCAGACACCGGCGGTATGCAAGTGTTTTGCCCTCAGGACCCCTGTATCCTCTGAACGTTTGTGAGGTTTGTGACCCCAAAGAGATTCTGTGCCTGTGGGCAACAGCCGTGCATACGCGCCTGCTGAAAATGAAAATGAAGCCTCTTAGCCCTTGGAATGTGCAGCCCAGCGGTCCTCAGAGGGAAACGCCGGGAGAAGACAGGGTGGGAAAGGCAAATCATATCTTTGTGTCCTTATCAAAACAACTGTGACCTTGGGGACCTCGTAGGAGGGCGTTAGGAACCCCCAGGCTTCCTGGGCCACACTCAGAACCAGTTCCATATGACAGTCTACATGTTCCTAGTCCAAGTGTTCAAGGTCAGAGAGGACGCGGTGCCAACAGAAATTCTCTGTTTGGGCCTTGTGCCGGTGGGTGGGAAGCACGGCCGGGGCCCTCTGGCCTCCTGTGTTTAGACTAAGTTCTGGGGCACACGCGTGCCGGTGTCTTGTGCACGGAGCAGACTGGACCACGTCCTCTGCCCCTACCGCAGGGCACTGCAGAGGGAGCGTAAGACACCTGCCTGCGGCCGCCGCCTACCTACTGGGCACACAAGGCTTCCAGATTTGGGGTTTTCTCTGGGTTGCCTGCTTCCTTGTTTTCCTGTGTCTTCCTTTGTAAATCCAGCATATCAGGGGGAGCCCTCCCCCAGGGCCGGGCACATGCCTCCCACGCAGCCAACCCGCACGGGGTCTACCCTTTGCGCGTTCTGACCCCCTGCGAGGCGAGAAGCGGCATCTCCGGACAGTGAAATTGAGCACACACGGGTGTGATGTTTGAGCTTTGCTATTTGTTTTTCCCGGGTTTCGAGGACTTATATATGGAAAGAGACATAACACTTGTAATGCTCGCAAACCTAGGATTTCACAAGGTCGACCCCCACCGCCACCCGCCACGCTCCCTGAGCAGAGACGCTTCCCTGTTCTCTGAGCCCCAGCATCCTGGTGGCTACCAAGCCGGCCCTGGCCAGAATGAGGCCCAGCAGCCCCCTGGGGCCAGTCAGGAGACAGTGTGGAGTCCTGGAGGAAGCCAGGGGGCACTCACCCAGCTCGTTCATGGCACGGCGGTACTCCTCATCAAAGGACAGCTTCATCACGGCACAGGTGGCCTGGCAGATCTGAGGCTCAATGGGGACGGGGGCTGCGGGCCAGGGGGCTGGGTCAGAGCCATCCTGCTGCTGGTGCGTCCCTGCCCTTCCCTGCCTTCTCCACCCCACAGGCCTGCAGAGCTTTTCAAACTGCTGTTCACGGGCGCATGGGGAGGCCTCCCAGAGCAGGGCGGCCTTACCACGCCTGTCTAAAGGCAAGTCACAGGGTGCTGTCCACACCCCTGCATCGCAAAGGCCGATGAGGCAGTGCCTGGTGCTAAGGACCTTTTGTCAGTGTTTTTGCCGTATATTAACTTTGCAAAGACCTGCAAACACTAGGGGTCCCAGACTGCACCCTGCTTGCAAAGGTTATGGGCTCTAGCCGGAGTCCGCGGGAGGCCTGGACGGCTCTTCCGGCTCACCGCCCCACCACACCGAAGCTCCCACGTGCTCACCACCGCCGTTGCCGCCTCCGTCGGCGCCGTCCCTGCCCTGCAGCCAGTCCCAGCAGGTCTCGCAGTAGGCCCGGATCTGCTCCAACACATGCAGGACGCGCATCTCCTTGCGCGCCAGGCCCTGGTCCGGCTGCGAGAAGACTATGTTGTGTAGCGCCGCGTTGGCGCGCATGCGTGCATCCTTGGCTCCCGGCGCCCCAGAGCTCCCGGCGCCCGCCTCGGCGCCATGCAGGATCTGCAGCAGCAGCGGCAGACACCCCGAGCGGCGCATCGCCACGCAGCTCTCCGGCGAGCTGGACATCGCCAGCAGGGTGCGGGCTGTGTCCTCCTGGTCCCGTGTCGCCAGCATGGACAGCAACCAGAAGACCACCTCCACCTGGAAGGGCAGGGGATGAAGTCAAGTTAGGGAACCCCGCCCAGCTCACCGGGCCCCAGCCAGGGCTAGCGCGGCCCCCCAGTGCGCCGCCCAAACACAGTGAGAGTCCTGTGACCCCAGCCCCAGAGAATCGCTGGCTCACCCTGACCTCCCCCTGCCCTGCATCCTCCTGGGGGCCAGCGCACACACGTGGGGAGGGGATGGGAGGCGTCAGCCAGCACCAAGTACCCCCAGTTCTGGAGGGCTGAGAGTCCACCCTGTGGTCTCTCACTGGGTACTCCTGTGGGTGACCTCCTACGTCTGAGACTAGGTTGAACCCCCCAAGGACAGCTATTCCCCACCCACCTTCCCAACCCCAGAGCACATGCTGGCCCTGCCAGCCTCACCGCACTCCCCCAACCAGGTGGCCCTTCCACACCTGAGGACACTTTATGGAGACAGAGGAGAGAGGGTCCCCCACGTCTGACAGCAACGCGGGACCCACCTCACCATGCGCCTCGACCCAGCAGGCCGCCCTCACCCCTCGCAGCTCAGGCCAGTTGCCGGGCCCCCCACGAACCGGGATACCCCTCACCTTGCTGTTGCCCGGCTGAGGGACACCATCGTCAGGGTGCGTGGGGACCTCAGTCTCCGGGTCCTCCTCTACCGGCACTGACTTCACCGCCAGCAGGGCCTGTGCGGAGAACGCCGGGCCTGGGGGTTCGGTTGGGGAGCACCCCACAAAGCGCCCAGACTGCGGATGCCGGCCACAGCCCCATGACGATGTGGGTGGGGGCTGCGGGCCCGTTCCTGCGCCCCGGGCAGGGCCCTGGCTCCACCCCTCCCGGTACCTGGGGCTCGGTCTGCGGCACGCGGTCCTGGGCGGACAGCAGCTCCTGATCGATCTGCTCCAGGCGCGAAGCGCGGATCTGAGCGCAGAGAAAGGCGCTCGCCCGGGCTGACTCCGCCCCGGCGCTGGCCCCGCCCACTCCAGGCTAGGACCCCACCCGCGGCCCGAACGGCACTTGGACGTCCCACTCCGCCCACTCCCTGGCCCCGCCCCTGGCTCGGATCCCACGGGCTCCTCTACCTGGCCCCACCCGCACTGAGCCCCGCCCCGTTGCCTGACTCTGCCCACAGCCCGGCCCCACCCACGGGCCCAACCCCAACCCGAACGGACCCCACCACTCCCTGACCGGTCCCGTCCACGCTCCGGGGCCCGGGGCCTGCCACGCTCGGTTCCGCCAACCGCCCGCCCCCTGCCCACGCTGTTCTCGGACTCCGGCCCCCCCCGGGCCCGGCTCTGCCCTCAGCCCCCTCCGGCCCCACCCACAGAGGGCTCCGGCCCCGCCCCCCGCACCAGTCCTCTTCCCGCGCGGTCCCGGCCGGCCCCGCCTCACCTGCGCGCGCTGCACCATCTCGTCCGAGGTGCCGAAGCGCTCCTCCATCAGCGAGCGGATGTGCTGCGCCTCGAACTCCAGCTGCTGCCGGATCAGGTCCATCTGCATCGAGAACTGCTGGGAGGGGCGGGCAGCCGCGGTGAGGGCGCGCCCCCGCCCGAGCCCCGCGCCCACCCCGGCGCGCCGCGGCCGCTCACCGTCTCCACGTGCGGGAGCTCGTCCAGGCGCTTGGACAGGCCCTGCAGCTGCGAGTAGTACCAGAGCTTCTCCTTCTCCTCCTTCTCGATCTCGTTCAACAGGAAGCACCTGAGGGGGAAGTCGGTGGGCGCGAGCTGCGGACTGGGGGCCGCCGAGGCCGCAGCGCGGGCCCTGCTCCCTGGAAGCCTCGCTTCCCTGCAGGGCACCAGCCTCGGTGCTCGCGGGGCTGGGTGGGGCGGAGCGTTCACGCAAAGGAGAGAGGCGACTCCTTGGTAAGGTCTGGTCCCCGGAGACAGGCTCCGATGGGGCTGCTGTGCCCCTGACGCTTCTCCCGCACCAGCTAGTCTCCCTCTAGCCTGCGAAGACCACGTCAGTCTCGGGTTGATCCAGGCCCAATAGCCTCCCTCGGAACAACGCTGCGGGGACGCCCTGCTGTTCCCATTGTACAGAGCTCAGTGTTTAGGCTCTTTTCTTTAAATAAAAACTTATTGCCTGGAGCGCCTGGGGGGCTCAGTGGGTTAAAGCCTCTGCCTTCGGCTCGGGTCACGACCTGGGATTAAGCCCCGCATCATCATCATCATCATCATCATCATCATCATCGGGCTCTCTGCTCAGCGGGAAGCCTGCTTCCTCCTCTCTCTCTGCCTCTCTGCCTGCTTGTGCTCTCTGTCTGTCAAATAAATAAATAAATAAATAATCTTTTTAAAAATGCTTACTAACTTTATTTTATTTTTTAGAAGATTTTATTTATTTATTTATTTGACATAGATCACAAGTAGGCATAAAGGCAGGCAGAGAGAGAGAGAGGGAAGCAGGCTCCCTGCTGAACAGAGAGCTGGATGCTGGGCTCGATCCCAGGACCCTGAGACCATGACCTGATCCGAAGGCAGAGGCTTTAACCCGCTGAGCCCCCCAGGCACCTCAAACACTTATTGACTTCAAATAATTTGGCCTATGTTCCATATAATTACAGGGCAAAAGTCTGAGGCTGGGAGGAGTTAGGAGACTAGCTTGAGGTCCCAGAGCAGGGCATGGACATGACAGCAAGCCTGTCCTGAACTGCCCCGTCGGACCCCACACAACCCAGCTGAGCCGAGCTGGGCGCTCTAGACGCTGCTTTCCTCTGCTGGCCATGGGCCCAGGTTTCCTGGGCCACAGCCCCTCTCTCCACAAAGGCTGCCTTGAGCCCTTCTGGCTCCAGTCCTGACCCTGGCAATGGACACAGCCCTGTCCTTGGGGAGGCCTGCATGCTGGGGACCCCTGAGGATATCTCCCAGGAGCCCTCCTCTTTGTCCTCCAGAGGTCCTCGGGAGGAAGAAAGGGGGAAGAGGAGCCACACTCAGGAGGTGGGTGGGGCACTTGCCGGTGGGCCAATCAGGGGTCAGGGATAGCTGGGGCGGAGCTGGCTGGGGGTGGGGCTTCCCGCCACGTGCTGTCTCACCGTTCCCGGTCCAGCTCCTCCAGCAGCCGGACAGTAGCCCTGCTCAGCTCCCCAAAACTGTCCTTAGAGGGTCCAGAGCCGTGGACGGGACTTTCTTCAGGGGTCCGCGCTGCGGGCTCGGGGCTTAGGGCTGGGGGTTGGAACTTGAGGTTGTACAGGCTGGTGATGTCCATCTGCAGGGCTGTATGGACACGGAAGAGAGGGAGAGGTCAGTGCCCCTTCCTGCCCCTCCTCCTCCTCCTCCTCCCAGCTCCCTCTGGAGGAAGGCTGGAGATTGCCCCAGTGTGCAGAGGGGCCTCCCCAGCAGCGCCCTCACCTTTCAGCTGCTCCAGCACATCCGTCTGCCCCAAGGACACCAGCACTCCCGCCTCTTGCTCCAGCTTGCCCTGTAAGTGCTTCAGGACCTCCTACGTACGGCGGGGGCGGGAGAGAGCACCAGCAGCGTAAGCCGGCTGCCCTGGGCTCCCCTGAGCCACCCCCACCACAAAATGCCCCAGCCTGGCCTGCCAGCCTCTTGGTCCAGCACCCTGGTGTTTGTGCCTCCGACCTCCACCCAGCCCCACCCGCACCTTCATGCCGGACGTCTCCGTCTCTAGCTTGGACAGGTGGCTGGAATTGTCTCGCAGCTCCTGCCTCAGATGACTGTTCTCGGCCTTCAAGGCCTCCACCTGCCGCACCAGCTGCTCGTAGGGTGCCACGGAGCTCGCCATCTTCAGCTCCTGGAGCGCCTGGGGCCACAGGTCAGAAGGTTCACCCAAGGGTCTAGGAAGGGGTGGCCCCTGACCGAAGTCCCAGCCCTCCCATCCAGTCCGGGGGGTGAGTCCCCACGGGAGTGCCTGGTGTGGACTGCGGCAGGGCTGGCCCCGAAGCCATGCAGCATGGCCAGCAGAGCGACAGACAGCGACAGATGTGGGCAGAGCCATGGGATGGACGTCGAGACACACAACCCAAACGAGCAGCTGACCAGCAGACACCAGTGCCTGTCTGTCCTCACTCCTGGGTTCCCAGACACACCTGCTGATGGCCACAGGCCTCCACCACAGAGAGCAGCCGCCCAGAGGTGAGGGGAAGAGACCACCAGCTGGCCCAGCCGAGGGGCGAGAACAAGGCCGTGCCCGCCAACAAAAAGCAGCACGGAGAGCGATGGCCAGGCCAATGTGGCGACGCCCTCAACTGCACAGACCCAAGCCCATCGCAGTCACCCTGGGGGTCTAAAATCTGGATGCCCCGCCCCCCAGCCCCCTTCACCAACAGCTGGAGCCCCAGCAGCTGCCTGCCCAGCCTGACTCCCCTCTGGTCAGCCCCCCGGCGGCCCTGGTGGCCCCATGCCCCATCTCCTGGGCTCTGCCACTGCCATCCACTTCTTTGTGTGTGGCAGCCCTTTCTCACTGTGGCCCAGCCTCCTTCCTCTGTCCAGCTGGCTGGCAGCCCCTCCTCTCTTGGCTAGGCTCTCCCCGGAGCTGTCCCACCTCCTCCCCACCCCTGGCCTTCCCTCTTTGTTCCCTTCCCATCAGCACTCGCCCCTCCCTCCGCCTTTGTCTGAGGCGCACCAATGGCAGCCCGGCCTCTTCCCCACCTCCTTCCTGGGAGCCCCTCCCCAGACCAGCCCGCCTTCCCCTTGCCCACAGGGAGGCGCTTACCCCCCGGCCCCCACCTGGCCACCTACATTCATTCGCTCAACCGCCCTTGTCCCTCTGCTCCTACCCACAGAACCCTCCCCACCCCACCCACCCCGGAGGTCACCAAGGGCATGCTGGGCCTGTTGTAAAGGTGCAGAGATGAGGTCAGGCCACCCGAACCCAGCGGGAAGTCCTACTGTACGCCTGACCTTGTCTTCTGAGTTCCCGGTCACAGTCCTGAGCCTCAGGGACCACCAACAGGCTGTGCTCAGAGGAAGAAAGTGAGGCCAGGGGGTCAGACAAGGCATGACTGGAACCCGGTCCTGGAAGGACTCAGGAGTCCAGGTGGTGCGCTCTGGCCTCGGTTTGCCCATCTGAGCCATGGGAACGCGGTATGCCTGGCCCATCCTGCAGGCTGATGAGAGGGTCAGGCATGGCTTTGGTCATGGAGCAAACCAGAGATCACAGGGCAGCCGGGGGAGTTGGAATGGGAGACAGTGTGCCAGACAGGGAAGGCCAGCCGCCTGGGGACCACAGCCTTCGCCTCCCACCCCAATAGTGGTCCCAACCGAGGCTCAGTCGGGGGTTGCAGAGCTGGGACCTAGGCCTGGGGTTGCAGCAAATTCCCTGGGCTGGAGTTGTGTCCTGGCTGAGGCTCCCAGGCCCTGCCCCACCAGAAGGAAGCACTAGGCCAGGCGCGACACCGCCTGCACACCCCTCCACTCCCTCGACCAACCTAGGCCCCCTCCCTGAGCCCCACCCAGGGTAGCCTCCCAGCTCCCGTTTCCCTCATGGGTGTCTGCGTGGATGTTCCAGGCCGAGCCTGGGACACCTTCATTCCCCCAGCATCCTCGTCAGCCTGAGCTTGGCAGCAGGGCCCCCACCAGACCCCCCGCTTTCCCAGCCTGAGTCCCCAACTCCACACTCCTACCAGCCCCTCAAGCTTTGCCCAGTTGGACCCTCTCTCGCCCAACTCCCCACAGCCCTCCCACCAGGGCAGCCTCGCTGGCCTCCCACAGTCCACTCCTCATGCACAGCCAGAAGGAAGCCCTGAAGTCACTGGTTGGACTCCTTCCCTTGCTCCAGTACTTCCCATGGCTCCCCAGTGCCCTTGAGATAAGCCCTGACTCCTTCACATCCCCTGGTGCCGCACAGCCGTGCTCTTCCACCAGGCCTCTGCGTGTGCAGTTTTCCACCTGGAGCACCTTTCCCGAACCCTGCCATCCCTCAAGGTGCCAACTTCCTCCAAGAAGCCCTCCTGCTTGCCGCTCAGCTCCAGGTTGCGCCAGGGAACTCCCAGGAACCCTGGGAGATCTCCATTGCAGAAGGGAAAGCACCAGTAGCAGGGGGCTGGTCTGGTTGAGCAGGGAGTGGTGGCACAGATGTGGCCCAAAGAGGCCCTTCTCCCCCCTTCAATCCATGCCCCACTTCACAGAGAGGGAAACTGATGTCCAGAGAGGTGGGGCACTATCCCCAAGCACACACAGGCCTGCCTGCAGACTGTGGGAGGTCCGAGCGGTGAACCCCGTGAGTGGGTGTGTGCGTGGGGACAGCAGCAGCAGCGCGGGCGCCCACCTTCCCGGGGCTCAGTTTCCCTTCTGGCTCCACCCTGGAGAAGCGGAGGCTCCGGAGAGTGTGCCCAGAGCTGAAGCAGAGACAAGGGGACGGAGACCCCCAGCAGAGGTGGAGGACGCGCCCCCTGCCCTCCACCCAGGGAAGCGCGCCGCTTACTTTATCTCACTCGGGCTGGGCTGGCGGGGGCGCCGCGGGGCGTGGGTTCCGGGTCTCCGGGGTCTTGGCGGCGCAAGCAGAGGGTTCCGGGGCGGACAAAGCCCGGTCCCGGCCTGGCCAGGCGGCGCCGCCGCTCCTAGGGCTGGGCGAGACCACCGCGAGCGGGGGAGGATGCGGGATGCGGGATGCAGCCGCTGCGGCCAATCGCGGCGCGGGAAGAAGGCCTGGTGCCATGGCAACAGCCAATGGCGGCCCCAGGGCGGGGACCAGCGGCGGCAGCGGGACGTCTCGCCTCCGGGCGGGTTCAGGGACTGCGTGTGCAAAGGGGGGTGAACCCCCTCCAAGGGAAGGGGGCGCCCCGTGGTCTAGGGCTCCGTGTCCCCCACACGTTCCGGCGTAAAGCGGCCTTAAGAACCTCCTGCAGCCGGATCCGGAGAATTGGGGAGTGAAACATCCAGTCCTGGATGTTACATCAGAATTGGGGGGGTGGGCAGGAGCCAGGTCAGCCCCTCCCCCACGGACCCAGCCAGGCCTTGTGCAGATGGGTGAGAGCGGGGCAGGGCCGACGACCCAGGCTGGACCCCCCAGCCCCTGCCAGCAGGGAGGGCCGTGGCTGGCATGAGGGACTGAGCATGGGGGATGGGCGGGCGTGCTGAGAAGCACTTGCGACCCTGGCATTTCTGTCTCCCTGGCAGAGCTCCTCCGTGGGCATCTGCCGTGACTCCTGTCCTCCTGTATGTCGCTCGGTCTCTTTCAATCTCTGTCTCCCTGTGTCTCTGTCTCTTGTCACACTTCTATTTCACCCTCACAGAAGGGGAGGCCGAAGAGGGAGGGGCCTGGGGTCCTGGCTTTCTCAGTTCCTCCCTGGGTCCCCAGAACCACTGAGGGTTTAAAACCCAGAGCCAGAATCTCGCAGCTGCGGCCAGTCCTCCTGCCTCAAACACATGCATGCACGAGGACAAAGGGGGCTCTGGGCCAGGAGATGGGGTTTAGGGGAGCTGCCTCTGTCTTTCCTGGCTGGGATGCCTGGGCAAATCATTTGCCCCGAGAACCTGATGCCCCCTGGGTAAAATGGGGGAGGCGGCTGCAACCTCGGTTAGGGCTGGTGCAGGGAACGACGGGACAACAGGGGGCCAAGGGCGTGGGGGCCACACTGTTTTCTGTTGGGTTTGCTGCAGGAGGCCCCCCCGTGCCCGTCCTGGGCTGGCAACGCCAGGGGCCCTGAGCAGACCCTCGAGAGCCAGACACAGCAGTCCCCAGCCCGTGGGGCTTGAGGACAGGGTGCAGTGGGCAAGGGGGCTCTTTCTGGAAGCTGGGAAGGCTGCCCAGAGAAAGGGACACAGTGCGTGGCCTCTTCAGGATGAAGAGCTGGACATGGAGGCAAGGAGGGGAACAGCGTTCTGGGCTAAAGGAACAGCATGTGCGGTTTCCGGAGCTGGGATCAGTGCCCTCTCGGGGGATGTGGGTTTGGGCCTGGGTCAGGTCCTTATGATGGGTTTGGAGCAGGGGCAGTCCCCTGGAGGGGTCATGGGCTGAACTGGCCACAGAGCAGGAGAGAGGGGGTGGGGAAAGGACAGGGCTCAGGGCCCCAGCATTAGCTCTACCTTGATTCCCCACCATGACCTTGGGCCTCTCTCTCTCTGACCTCCGGTTTCTTGTTTTGTTGACTAGGAGGTGGGTTGGACAATCCTTGCCCACACAGAACTAGGTCTTACCTCCCCCACCCAGTCTCAGAGGTCACTGGCCCCTAGGCCCCTCTCAGCCAAAAATCTTAGAGTGGCCTAAAGGCCAGCCATGTCCTCATACATATGAGGACACTGAGGCTTAAGCCAGGGAGTGCCCTGCTGGAGTTCACTCATGAGCCTCAGCAGCCCTGGGTCCTGGAGGGCTGAGGGCACGTGGGACTGAGACCCCCCAGGTGCTCTTGTGCCCAAGCCTCTGGAACACTGTAGCTCTGAAACCCCTGCTCCTCCTCCTCCTCGAGAATCCCTGACCCTGTCAATTCTTGAGCCACAGACGCAGGCATCACTGGAAATTCGAGAACCATAGAGCCTTGGGAAATACAGCACCCCAGGACCCCAGTCCCAGCCTTGGAGACCTCCCCACAATGTACAGCACCCAGGCCTAGTGTGGGGACCCTTCCCAGGGACCCTCCTGGGACCCTCTGCGCTCCCTACCGCTGCCGTGGAACCATGGGGCTCGCTCAGCTCCACCCTCACCTGGACACCGGCCCCTCCCCCTCCACTGCCATCCCAGCATCTGGCCCCCATGCAACACGGTCACTCAGAGTGTCTGAGTCTTCTGATCCTGACCTCAGCGCCAATTCCCACTTGATGCCCCGCCCTTTTTCACTGATCCTCCGCGGTGCCAGGGGCAGGGGGTAGGACCAGGGGTGCCCCCCCCACCCCGCCACTCAGCTGGGGTAGGGCTGAAGGAAGCAGGAAGGCACCAGGTTTGTCATGTGACCAGATGGGACCCCAGCCCGGTGATGGAGCAGGGCCCTGACGGGTGAGGAAGGACGGGCACCGGAGATGGGGGAGTGGTGAGGCCGCGCCCCTGAAACCCGATCGGGGTGGGTCGCCTGACAGGGCTCTGGGCCTCAGTTTCCCCCGGCGGGGAGGGGGTGAGCGAGCGTCCCGTCAGCACCGGGGACAGCTCCCCTGTCGGCCTGCAGGCCGGGTCCTCTCCCGACGCCTCCGCCCCACGCTCTAGCCCCAGCCCTGCGGAGGCCGTGACCTTGGGCTCCCCGCTGCGCCCCCAGCCTCAGTTTCCTCTTTAGTTGGGGATGTTAGAGCCGCAGGGTTCCGGACGATTAGAGGCCCACAAAGCGCTCGGGCCTCGGTGGGATACACTTTAGGAAGCTTAGCCTCGGCGAAAGGCGGAGTAGGCCCTCCGCCGGGAGCCCAGAGGGGAAACCGAGGCTGGAAAAGGTGCAGGGCGTGGCCCGGCCTCTACCCTCCTGTATGGGACGGACCCTCGGCCCGGCGGTCCCCCGTCGCGGTCCGGCCGCCCCAGGTGCTCTCTGCGCCCGCGCAGTGGGGAGGGGTCCTGGGAGGTCTCCCTCGGAGACCGGGAGCTGGGCCCGGTGAGGCCGCGTTTGCGCAGACCCGGGGTGGGGGGGTTCGCTGCACGCGGGGGGAGGGGCTCCCAGTCAGGCGAGCAGCCTGAGGCAGTTTCCCTGGCAACGGTCTCCGCGGCGACGACGCGAGACCCCAGACCCGTCAAGCGTCGTGCGCGTAGAGCGCCCCTACGCCCTACCTGGTCCCCGAAGAAGGCCGAGTGTAGCAGGCTCAGCAGCCCCCAGAGCCCCATGGAGCCGCGGCAGTCCAGGACCAGCCCGCGCCCCGCCCTCGGCGGCTCGGGTTGTGGGGGGTGTAGGCACTGCCGAGACTCCTTGCGCCTGCGCGGAGGGACTGCGGGGAGGGCTCGCTCGGCGGGGCGGGGCAGGGACTCCTGGGGAAGGGGGCGACCCACGAGCGGGTCTGCGGGACTTCGCAGGAGTGGGGGGAGGGAGCCTCGCGGGACTGAGGACTCGGAAGCAGAAGGTGGGAGCCTAGAGAGGGGTAGGTCGGAGGAAGAGCGGGCTGGGAACCCGGAGCGCGAGGGGTGCGGAGGAGAGTGGCGCTTTCGGAAAGATGGAGGGCGGCGCTGCCCCGCGGCCGCCGGCGGCTGCCCGCTGGGACAGGGGGCCCGCAGCGGCCGGGCTCCAGCTGCGCGCTCAGTCCATTAGTCATTCGGCAAACGTGTGCCCCGCGCCTACTGTTTGCGGGACTCCGAGCTGGGCGCTGCGTACCGACGGGGCCTGCTGGCCCACACCACACGGAAAGACATTCGGTCACTTAACCAACATCCACCAAACACCTGCTGTGTGCAGCCAACAGTCAAGACCCTGCTCGTGGGAAACGGGCACCCTGGGAGGAGGGGGAAGGGCAGTAAGCGCGGGAAACAGCTCGGAGGTGGGGGCGTGGGAGGCCCCGGGAAGGGCACTTAATAGACCCCACGAAGAGCATCCCGGCACAAGGGGCAGCGAGCGCCAAGGGAGGAGGCAGACGGGGACGAAGTGTGTGGGGGTAGGTGTCGTGCGGGGTCCCGTGGACGCGGGAGGATTGGGGCCCTTCCCGCGTGGGGAGCCCTGGAGGGCTGCGGGGACGACTGTGTGCTCGCCTTCTCCCGCCCCCGTCGGCAGCAAGAACAGGGCGGAGGTCACCGTGCGGGGCTGCGAGGTGGGAGGTAGAGGGGAGTCACGGAGGGGTTGTCATTAGGAACTGTGCTAAGTCCTGGAAAAGCAAGGAACAAGCAGCAAGAGAAGGGCGCTACGTGGGCCTCCGCAAGCCGGTGCCATGAACCCGTGGCAGGGTACTCGCCTAGAGGGCACAGCCCCTGCAAAGGCTGGGAAGTGAGAACTAGCGGGGATAGGAGGGGGATGCAGGCTGGCGCTGTCCTGGAGCCGCGGAAGTGAGGGCGTGAACACCTGCTTATTTAGGTTGATGAGTTGGTGAGAAATGGCAGAGAAGGGGCCAGATCTAGAACAGGCTCTGACGCGGCTGGCCAACCGGACGGACGGGGGAGACCAGGTGGAGCCTGGGGATGGGAGCTGCCTCCGGAGGGGTGGTGGAGATGGCGGGCAGGGAGTGAGCGCTGGGTCTGGATGTGGGGGTGCAGCCCGGTGGAACTGGACCAGAGGCTCAGATTCAGAAGGGCCCAGAGGCAGGAAGGGGGCTGCAGGCCAATGGAGGGGCTGGGGAGTGAGAAGGCCCTGCTGCTGCAGAGTCCCACTCGAGCCTGAGCTCAGTGAGGTACTTCCTGGCCTGGAGTAGCACATACAGGCCGGGCCGTCTCCCGTAGGACACAATTCCTTTTGCTTGTAACACTAGCACGCACTGTCCCCTGTCATACCTAATTAGCTGACAAATTCAAACTGCAGATGATTAACCCCCACCGTGTGACCACTGACCCCTCTCACCCTAAGCCCACTCAGGTGGCCTGTAGTGGCCATGCTGGAAGCTTCCAGTGAGGGTTAAAGGCCTAGGACACAGGTGACACCAATGCTGCTGTCACGGGGAGGGTCCTCCTTATTTTTATAGAACACACGAGACTGAGAAACAAGGTCCCGGGTTGTGAAAGCACAGGCAGCAGGCCTCGCAGTCTCCGGGCTGGCCGCCCACGCCGTCGAGCCGAGTGGGCACACCCCGGGCTAGTGCTCACTGCCATCCCACGCCTCTCAAGCCCAGGCCTCAGGCCTCAGTCTGCACAGGCCTTTTCTCCTGCAACACGGACTCGATGGCCTAAGAACTGTCCATTTGTACGTTTTCATGCTCAGAGTCAAGACTCATTTTCCAGTGAAGGTGCACGTCTGCCCTGAGCAGCCTTCTCCCAAGAACACGGCTTCTACTCAAGTTCATTTAATTATGAAAATTCCAAAAAGGTGGGGGGCGCCTGGGTAGCTCAGCAGGTTAAGCCCCTGCCTTCAGCTCAGGTCACTGTCTCAGGGTCCTGGGGTCGAGCCCCGCATGCGGCTCTCTGCTCAGCAGGGAGCCTTATTCCCCCTCCCCTGCCTCTCCCCAACAAATAAAATCTTGAAAGAAAAAACCAAACCCCTAAGTTTAAAAAAAAAAATTCCAAGAATAAGGAAAAATAAGGTAAGATGAAAACAGGGAAGCAGGAACACTTAGCTCTAGGAACAGGGTTGCTGGGGGGGGGGATGGGCACATGACAGAAGGAACACTGGGTGTCACATAGAATGGCGAGTCCCGAAATTCTACCCCTGCAACTAGTATCCCCAATGAGCCCTCATCTTCCTCTTGGCGTGGCCCGGGAGTCAGGCCACACAAAGGCTTCTGCGGTTCCCAGTGGCGGGAGTGCAGATGGCGGGGACCTCTCCCTGCAGCCGGCAGCTCAGACCATGTCTCTGCCGCCCCGTGCTTCAGGGCACGTTCCAGATCACATGGCCGGAATCCATGGCACGGACTCCCGGTTTCCAGCCAGCCTCTCCGCAATCGGACCAAGATCGGGGGCTGTCCCCAAGG